CGTTGACGAATGATCAAATAATTATCGTTGACGGGAAGACTGGCAGCCTTCGGGGCAATCGGCTCTCCATCCAGCTACATTATGCACGACGCTGAGAGTGCGGAACAAAGCGTCGCACTGCATTATTCGTGTGTGCGAATGAGGATTGCGATGGCGCACAACGGAACAACACGGCTCACTCACATTGTTGTTGGCCAATAATTGGTACTTGTGTGCAGAAACAACTAAATGCACATTGCAGCTGAATTACCGACTGTAATGGGATTTAGATGTCGCTTTCCGAGGGGTTCAAAATACGCGTGCTTTATCGTCAAGGAAGCTTGCTGTGGATATAAAATATATTATGTGTGACGTTTTAAGTAAGTGAAAAAAAAATGAAAAACACAAAAAAATTTTGGTAAAAAAATTCTTCAATTAATGAAAGCATTGATATCTTTTTTATCCATTCAATGTTTCATATTATATTAAAAAAGCAAACTTTTCATTTTTAATTTTTATAGCAGATTGTAATCCAGGATTAAAATTTGCGTAGCATTATTCAAGGATATCTAGTAAACTTACTGAAGATTCATTCTTCCAGTGAACAGTGTTGATTGCGACGACGAGGAAGTGTGGCAAAGTCCTAGAAGAGTCGACTGACCACCTAACGTTCAATTAGTGTGGCTACCCTTTCTTGGAATCCGCGTGTACCTGTATCTATGTACAACTTATACTCTTCTGCTGGTCGATTTTTGTGCGAACAACTCCTTTCCTCTTTCACTTCCTGCGTCCGATGGTGCCGTAATCAGAGTTCAGCAAAACAAAAAATCGCCGGCCGGCCGTCGGGCTCATCGAGATGAAACCTAACGAGTAAGTGAACAAACTTTCATAAATCAATTACCGTCCTGACCGTCTCTCGGTCGGTTGATGTGGCTCGACTTGAACTCATCACACTCGGCGGCCGGTAATTTAATTTGCGGTCGAAAGTATGTGCGTGCGACATTTCGCCCTCTCATTTTCCGCTCTGTCGGCCGTGACAAGCAAACTTTCTGAAAGGGTCTCGGCCAAGAGAAAATCTGTTTTGCCAATTAGACGAAATTTGCAATTAGAGCGAAAATTTCTCCAACATACTTGATATGTACTTTTTTTCTCAATTGAGAGGTTAAAAAACTCCGGCTGACGAAGGTTCAGTCAGTCAATCGATATATAGCGACAACGAGAAAAGTTTTCCGAGCTTGTTTTCTTCCGCACACAAAGGCAAACACCGAAAAAGCACGACTGCCGAAGTGATCAGCCCTAAAGCGACGAGCGTTGTATGTTTGCGTTGCTGCAGCGCCCGGGGATCTGCATTGTGATTAATACTGAATTAATAGGGTATATCTCGCGCTCTAATTACAGCAAAGCAAATAAATCACGGCCACGGGTGTAATTACTCTCGGAGCGAGAGTGGCCTCCTCCCCAATCTTGAGTGTTGTGATTTCAATCATGATTTTATCGTGCCGCCGCAGCGCACAAGCAACAGCCCGAGGAGCGCGCGGACGATGCTACTCTCCGCAGCATAATCGCAAAATAAAGAGCAAACTTTGCCTAGCATGTGCCTCTGCAGCCGAAAACTCACAGTCCGACGGTGAAGACTTATGCAAAGTTGCTCGTAGAGAGAGAAAATTATAATGCTTAGTAGGCAAAAAGAGCTCCACACTAATTACACACGCAAAGGACCAATATCGATCCAGTGCAAATAAAGTTTAATGCGAGGAGAAATGTTCGTTTGCGACTTTCCAATGAGAGGAAGGACGTGTAGGGAACACCTCCAACGTTTATTGGAACACCATTTAAAGTTACTAAACATCAATCAGTTTTTGAAATTTTGTATAAAATTTAAAATCTGTTTACTTAAAGGAGATAAACTTTTGAAAAATTATAGCAATTCTGAAATAAGTATTTTTGTGTGAAAAGTGTTACAATATCTTCATTTTTTTCTCCTTTACTTTGAGATTAAAGTAGAAAAGCTTGTCTGAGCCGGAAAAGCACTTTTGCCAGTCCGTGCGCCGTGTGTGTTGCTCCTTATTAGCCTGCATTGCATTTTGAGGCTACTTGCTCTTCTCCCAGCGCATTTATTTTCCCTTCTTTTTGCCCCGCTGGCTGGCTGTCTGGCTGGCTATCAGAATTAAGTAAGCTGTATGCTCGGCAGCTCAAGAAGCAAGTTTAGTTTTGCTCATGCACGGAGAGTTTGTGTTTACTGCGCCAGTTGTGATCCTGCCGCGGATTCCCACATTATACCTCTCTGCAGGAAACACACCTCGAGCAGCTCATTTAAAAGATAGCCGCAGCACACAGAGAGCATCTTCTTCTCCCTCACACATACAGCACTGCCTGCTGGTGAGAGAAGAGCGTGGCGTGTAATTCTGCACTCTCATTCACCCGCTGCCGGCTCATCCGGCAGGCGCCTGGGTTAATAACTTCGTTCCAATGAGCAAATTTAAGGTCTGAGTAATCCAGCAGCGCGGTGCCTGCAATTGAATTTAACGACCTCCTTGAGTGCAGTTGCTCTTGAAAATCGACTCGATCCTCTCAATTCAAGCTAGAGTGTTTTTCTCCTGTGCTATCTCAACTTTGCAATTTGTCAACCAGTAAAGCTTGCGTAACGCCTTATTAAATTTTTGTAAAAATTATTCATACTTTATAATTGAAAAAAAAAACAATAAAACCACTAAAAATAAACTTTATGAATATATTTTAAATTAAAGTTATTTTTGAAGCAATTTTTTTGTTGATTATATTTTTGCGGCACCATTTTTATAGTGAACTTTTTGTGTGACAGAATGTTAAACAATAGTTGGCGAATAAATAAATTTATGAATTGTAAAAGGTAAATTACATTATACCCAAAAACACAACTCAAAACTCAATATATCAAAGGTTCACACATAAGTTCGGCACCGAACATGGATATTTAATATAGTAGGAATAGGCTTCAGGGCTTTAGTACATACTTGTAGTTAATTAAAGACTTGATGAGAATGCAATTACATCAGCTCGTCAGTCAAAATACCTCTAGAGTCACGAATCTTATAACTGAGCATTTAGCATTTCTAAACATTATAAAGAAGAGGCAAGAGAGTGGTGTTGACTTCATCCCATTTTTCTCCTTCCACACACATACACCGTTCTTATTTTTCTCTTTCTCTTGCCACTTTTCACTTTCTCTTTTCCACGCAGAGGCCAAACAGAATATATGCTAATTTTGGGTTTGCATGCTTGAGAAGGTCCTCACGGACCGAGTGCCACGCGCATTACTCGAGCCTGTTTTGCCTGCTGCGTGTCTCCACTTGTGGCCCCGCAAACTTTATCCGTTTGCCTGATGACATTGTTAGTAAAAGCATCGGTGTGTGGTAAAAAGGTAAACGCAGGCGCGCGCGCGCAACTCACAAAAATACACACAAACAGTACGCCTTTTTTCTGCGCTGTTTATTTTGGCTCGATTGGATGCACCTGCACTTGATTAAACGGACCCTTTCCTCCTTTTCTTTAGTTCCGCATAAAAAGTTCACCATTGATTCGATCGCTCGCAGTTTACTCAAACAACAACAGCCAAACCATCAGCCCAACTTCTCAGGAGTAAAAGTACACAAAATAAGAAAAGAAGACGCCACAGGGTATAATGTTTGCCAACTGCGGTAAAATTCAAGGAAAATAAAAGTCCTTGTTCGTTTTTTCACTTTGAATAATATAGCAAGTTGAATTCGAAAGTCTTGATTATGCAACCGGGCCAATTCTAAAGCCGAGCGTGTTGCATAGCTGTTAATGACAATAGTTACTGTATATACATATTATTTTGCCTTTTTTTTATCAAGTCTCTAAAGAACGCGGAGCGATTTGTCACTAGGTTGACCTTTAAAACTTTACTTGGATTAATGGTCTGAGAAAAAGTTAATTTCTTTTACACAGTCATAAATCAAACTTGTATTGCAGTTCGTGGTAATAATTGCTTTCATGTCTTGCATGCACATATCAAAGAAATGACAAGCATGAATATACATGAATAAAATGATTTGCTACAAAGAACCTTTGCATTCCGGATCACCGGGTTCATTTTTTGCTGGCAAACGCGGGCGCTAGAAAACCTCGCCTCAATGAAAATATATTCCGCCACTAATAGCAGGGGCCGCTTTTATCACCTCTGTAGCTAGCGCGCTTTCTGCTCTCCTTCACTCTTATGCATATTTATAGATCAGACAAAATGAAAAATTAATTTAATCAGGACCAAAGTAAGTTAGCTGGGGAGAAGGAGAAAGGGCGAGCGAGTTTTGTGCGCGACGAGAAATGAAATCTAAACACGGAGGAAACACACAAGGAATAATTCATTCTGCAAGTGGCACCGGCACGCAACCCGCTTATTTTTCATGCGCGCATTCCCCGCGCCCCCTCTCGCAACCCATTTATCCTCCCGCGTTATTTCTTTTAACTCCAACAGCGGCAGCAGCGAAATGTAATTATACAAACAAAGGTGCGAGGGACTTGGACATAAATCGCCACGGGACAACCCGAGCCTCACTCGCATGTCACGCCACCCTTTTCAGACCCAAAGATCACGCACCTCTAACTCTCGTGAGCACCGAGGTGCGTTTGCTGACGCTTCCTGCTCGCGCAAACACATGAAATTCAATTATGGGTTGGCCATACCAACCACTAATATTATTCAACAAGTGTATCTCTTTTATTATTTATGGTGAACTAGGAACAAATGATAAGATTATTTAAATTTTTATTAATCATTGTTTTTAATAGAGCGGCATTATTTTAATAATTAAAAATTAATTTTCAATCAAATTTGTAAAACTGTTCAAGCAGCAATAAATCTGTGAATCTGCTATGTTGCAGCTTGAGATCGAAATCAATACCACTATTGCTCTTGATGGTGCACTAAAATGTAAAATTTAAAACAGCACATATTTAAACCATTGTAAAAAGGATCTCATAAAAAACGTAAATGGTAAAAGTGAATAAAAATAACACAACACTGAGCATTAAATTTAAATTTTTAAGGTTAGCTGGGTTGACATTGAGAAATGTTACTTAAACATGCTTAAAACTACAGTCATCGTCTTGCAATGGACAACCATGTGGATGGTTAGAGAAGAACCAGCAAGGCCGATTCTTCCACTTGTTGGTATTTTTTAATTCCAAATTCAGTTTTGGCAACCGAAACTTTATGACCCCTCCCTGTACCTGGAAAATGCTATGGTTGTTCCTGAGGAGAGTTTGCAAACCGCCAAACTCTTTCTTCATCTGGGACTTCATTTCATCGGGCACCAGCTTTGCCGCATCGGCCATACTGAGACCCCCTTCCACTTGCCACTTGCCCTCTTTGACTTTCTCAAACATCTTTTGTGTGACCATTTGAACAACTGACTCGATAAGTTCTTTTGGCAGCTTGGTGCAGTTCCGAACTTTCTCCTCAGCTGGGCGAGGGTTGAATATGGTGCAGGCTTTTGTGCTGTTCACAAATTCCCACAGGAGATCTTTTGAAATGCAAGCAGATTTATTCCTGCCAATCAGACAAGTTCGTTTTGTTGATGGGATGCGAAGTTTGTCTATTTTCATCTAAAATAAATAAAATAAAAAATTATCTTTTGAAACATTATCCCAAAAAATCCTTACATCAAATCCGCAGTTTTCTCCAACAGATGATATATAACCTATGTATTCCGTGTATTGGCTATTAGAGGAGTCTTTTCTTTGATACTTCCCATAAAAATCAAATGGGCAGCATGGCAGTAGGAAAAAGTTACAATTTGGTGAGCTTTGCGCGGCCAAAACAGGAATCCATGGGGTTAATTCATCGGAATGATTTCCAATCAACCAATCAAAATTGGAGTAAATTGTGTCCGGACTGGGAATGACTGTTGAGACCTTTAAAAGTGAAAACGTTATTAATAAGTTTTATATTTTAATAATTTTATCAAAACAATGTACCTCCAGTTTTGTGGTTTCTGGATACACTGCCCAAATTTTTCGACTGCGTAAATCCAAGCCCAAACCACGGCAACCCTCTTCGTTCAAAACATGAACCAGAAGTCCATTTCCGCATCCCAAGTCAACAAACGAAGGCCCGACGTCTCCGGGGTTGCAATTCCACAAACACAAAAGGTAGCTAGCGATGGCCAAGTCTTCGTAGACAAATTTCAAAGGGTCGGTTTGCTCAGTCCAGATCTTTTTAAAAATACATTAAAATACAAAATTTATTATTATAAATGTGTTACTGACCTTTACAAAATATGGCCCAAATTTTAATTTTAATCGATTGTAAGTGGCATTGTACTTGTCAAGATCAACCAGGGTCAGAGAACCTGTTGGAATGGTAGATTTTTCTTTGGGTTTAGCACTTATCCACTTCACAACTCTCGGAAACAGCGTAGTTCGCAGCCAGTTTTCTGACAGGTCCAAGGCCGGTCTTCGAGAGTAGACGAGGAACTTGATTCTCAGTCCTGGACTAAACACCCCTTGAAACTTGTATGGTAGTTTTGTCTGCATTGTGTCTCCATCCTCGAAGAAAGGAACAAAAGTTGCTTCATTATTAGTAAAGTCTAAAAATATTGTTAGATTCATATAAGATATAAGTTTTAATTTTTAATTTTAAATTTTACCAATAAAAATAACGTCTCTGTTGGCTTCGGCAGTCTTTGAGTCAGTCTTTGACAGAAGTTGCCTGACAAGGAAAATAACATTCAGCTCTGGCTGTGGATTTAATTTCCCAGTGTTGAATCCTTCCTTCAATTCATCCTTCTGCCCAAGAAATTCAGACACTAGGGGTGTCAGGTCAGATGACACCCACTCTTTTACAACGCAGTGGCCCACGAAGCGGCTGACGTCCAACCTGCTGCATTTTGGCAGGTGTCCAGAGGAGATAATTTTGCAACCAAACAGGCGGCGATTGACGACGTGCGGATTTGAGAGCCAAACCGAGACACCTTGCCAAAAGTTTTCGGCCGTCAGAGAGTCGTCCAAGGGCTGCTCGTTGCTCTCGACGACCTCGAAGCAGTCGAAAGCTGATGTCATTTCGCAATTTCAGATTTCAGCCCACGCGTCAACGCAGGGAATTCATTGTCACTGTGGGAATAACAAGATGTTAAATAAAAAATTGGCCAATATTCGCACCTGAGCTAGGAGGGGGCAAACATTATTTACCTGCGGTTTATCGTGCAAAAAAGCTTGTTTGTTTCGTTTGTTTACTTTTATCCTCGTGCACGCACAAGCCACGCCCCTTGCCAATCGGAAAGCAGCGCCGCACGTGGCCGCTGGCGTCACTACTCGGCTCGCTCGCTCTCTTTTGTGTGTGGCAATCCCACTTGTTGACATTGAATAAGTTTGTCCATATTTGTCCGTCTCTCGGAAAGAAAGCTGCGCGTTGTCCGCGATCTGCAGCCGTTCGCCAGCATGCCGATTTCGTGACTTTTCCGGCCCTCGAGCGGCGGAAAAGTGCGTCGGACGTCGACGAAGACCGAGAAACGAGCGTGGGAACTTTTCGGACGAGAGCGACTTGGCCCTGTCAGCGAACATGCACCTTTGAAAAATGCAACGGAACGTAAGTGCCGGGGACACCTGTTCGCGCTTCCGGTCCCTTAAGCTCCCCTCGGTCGTCCTAGACAGAAAATTCGTGTCGTGTCCCGTGTCCTTGGGGTAAAAACAAAAATGAAAGTCGTCAGGTCGTGTGGGCCGGAAGGTGGTCGTGTGTGGGCCGAAACCCGTGCAAGGGCCCCCGTCCGTTCCCTGTCAGTTGGCGCCGGGGTGTGCCAGCATCGAGAGGGGCAGCTCGGAAGTTTGGAACCGGAAATTGTTAATTCATTCGACGCACCCTTGTGTGTCAAAACATTCGATTTATCATAATGGTTTGTGTGTTGTTTTTTACCAATCAAGGTTGCAGGGGCGTTTACGCAATTTTTCGCTTTTGTTGTTCGCCACTCTCTGTGCACAATCGTCACCCTCTCCCGGTGCTGAGGTTGGGTTCATTGTTTAGTCGTGTAATTGCTCAGACGGATAATTTGCATGAGCAGCTGCTCAGCCGCACCATTATCCGATTTACCGCCGCCGTATCAACATTTTATGCAATTTTTTAAACAGCTGCATTCAATTCTAATAGATTCTTGTAAACGAATTAGAGGTTGCTTTGCAATTTTACATAATCGCTTATGTGATCGGAATTTGTAGCGATTCTAGATTTTGTTATTTCCATTCGAACGTCGCGATGATCGCTTTGTGTTTGTAGTGTCTGGATAAGTGTTTAAATAGGAAATTACTTATTGGAATAGAAAAATACGCCCACGAGTGACCATAAATGTTTTACAAACGACGCCGTGTGTGTTCTGAGGTATAAAGCTTATTTTACTTATTTGGGCATTTGCTTTGCTTTGATGGACAAATTTTAAAATTTGTAAAATAATTATTTCAAATTTTTTATTAATGTGTTATTATTTAATTTTGTTAAATTTCCTTAATATTATAAAATTAGAACATTCTGCATTGTGTAAGTACTAATCAGCATTGTTCATATCATCAAAGCAATACAAGAAGTTAAGCACTTTTAACTGTAATCTATTCTTCCTTGTTCTTCACTGCATGTAAAATTATTATGAACGCATTGTGAAATAGACACAATATACTTTTAAGGCTGGAATTTCGTTTTTTTTTTCTTTTTGATTTTTCAACTTGACTCGAAAATAAATTTAGTTTTAATCTTTGAAAAAATTTAATTTATTATTTTTGATCTATTTTGAAATTATAACCAATTGAAGAGTTTAAATTTTATCGTTTTTTCCTGCAATCTTTCTCTCTAAAAGCGCTACTAAATTTTTTTTTAAATATCTCTGTTTTATTCTATTTTATCATTATTATTAATTAACAGGCTTACAGGCTATTCCAAAATTTACTGGATCAAAAAGAATTTTTAAGTCAGTAGATTAAGTAGACACCATGGGCACACATGAGGGTTGTAATTTTTTGATTCCATCAAAATATTGAATCGGCAACCTCCAGATTTCCAGTTTAAATTCGAGGCAGTCAGTCGGAACCGGTTCAAATAAGCATCTCGAATCTCAGCCGATTCGTGAATGAAAAGTCTCGATTTCCCCCTTGACAAGCCAACCGTCTTTGTTCTCACGTTTTACCAGTCTTTGAGTCAATTTCTTTTTCCTTTTTGCCGCAGGTAACGTTGGAGAAGGTGATTGGTCTGACAGCCAAAGGCAACGCAGCCCTAGCATGCGACCCAAACAACGACCTGGTTGCCTATCCGGCAGGGTGAGTAGCTCTGCGCTCAGGGAATTTCCCGCTGACTGACCCCTGTTTCCACTCAGGTGCACCGTGGTGCTTTTGAACACGAGGAAGGGCCACCAGAGCCACCTGCTCAACACCTCTCGCAAGACGGTCGTCTGCCTGGCGTACTCGCCAGACGGCAAGTACCTCGTGACCGGAGAATGCGGACACCAGCCAGCCCTGAGGGTATGGGACATGTCCCAGACCACTTACGTGCCGGTGGCTGAGTTGATGGGCCATAAATATGGAGTGAATTGCGCGGTATGGAAAAACTTGTTTCGAGTCGAAACAGTGACAAAATTTATCCTTGGAGCTAACTTGTTTAATTTTTGTCACTGAATCCACCCAAAAAAAATAGGAAACCATTTTAATCAAGTCATATGACAGTCATTAGATCTTAATTATCATTTATTTTTCTCAATCAATAACAAATTTTAAATATTTAAATTTATTGGTTTTGTGCAAATATTTTAACTGTAAAATAATGCTTTTTTTAGTATCTCAATTTAATTGAGACTTCTACCGTTTCGTTTATCTTTTAATGAGGCTGCGGGTTATAAGCAGAATGAAATGATGAATTACCTCCGTTATTATTCTGAAGTTCATTTGCATTGGTAATGAAACCAAACTTTCGCCGCCCAGCTTTTTAATCACCCATTCGTAACGAACTCTTTGAATAATCTTTTGTGCTTAGGCATCACGCAAAATATTTATGGTCACGCTTGATGAAGAAAAAGGCTGGTTTCTTGTTACCCCGCTGTTTAGCATTCTGCTCAGATGTCATCTTCTGTTTTATTTTCTAAGGATGGATATTCTTGTTGAACAGAACGCCCATTCTTAATTTCACGATATCGCGTTCACCGCGCCGAGTTCACTAATGCTAATTTGATCTGCATGTTGCAGGCCTTTTCACCCAACATGCGATACATTGTGTCCGTCGGAACCCAGCATGACATGATCGTCAACGTCTGGGACTGGAAAGTCGGAGTCAAAGTTGCAAGCAATAAAGTCAGTGCCAAAGTTAAAGCTGTAGCGTTTTCCGAAAACGGCAGTTATTTTGTTACTGTGGGCAATAGGAACGTAAAGTTCTGGTACTTGGAGCACTCAAGATTTACAAAAGTACAAAGTTAAGAAATTTTTTGTCAAAAGTTTTACAAATTTTTTGTTTAGTACAAAGAAGCAGTGCCATTGATGGGTCGATCTGCAATTCTGGGAGAACAGAGAAACAACTATTTCAACGACGTTGCGTGCGGGAAAGGCGCCGTTGGTGATTACACGTTTGCCATCACAAAGTCGGGCCTGCTCTGCGAGTTCAACAATAGAAGACTGTTAGACAAGTGGGTGGATTTGAAGGTGAGTGACTCATTTGCAGCCAAATCCAAGGGGGCATTACCTGAAGCCGTATTTGTTTGCAGACTGCTGGCGCACATTGCCTCTCCGTGGGGCAGGACATAATTGTGGTTGGCTGCAACGATGGAATTGTCCGATGTTTTCACCCTCAATCGCTGCAATTTGTTTCAACCCTCCCAAGGCCACACTTCATAGGTGTAGACGTCGCACAAGCCTTGAACATAATGTTTGCTCTTAATCAAAGCAATTTGCATTGAAATGTAACATTAATTGTATTTTCAGGAATGTTGCAAATCAAGCCAAAAATGTCACTTATCCAGACACAATTTCGATCGCATTGGACGAGATAAACAACAAAGTGATCAGCATTTACAGTGACCACAGCATCTACGTCTGGGATGTGAAAGATATCAAGAGGGTAAATAATAATTTTGTTAAAAATGTTTAATCAAAATAATTTTGTAATCAGGTCGGGAAGTCGCATTCTTTTCTATACCATTCCGCCTGTATTTGGGGAGTGGAGATGTACCCAAGTAACGACCACAACTCTGATATGGCAGTGCCGCCAGGCTGTTTCATAACCTGCTCCAGTGACAACAGCATCAGGTTTTGGAATGTTGATTCCAGGAATCAGCCAATCAACCCGGCTTTCAGGAACATTTACAGTGATGTGAGTTGCTTCACATTTTGAACAGTAAAAAAAGGAAACTCGTCTGTATAATTACTTTCACTCTGTCTTGCAATTATATTTTTATAGACATTCTCTTCCTTTTTTGGTTATCCCATCATTACAGTGACACATTTTTGCGGAGATAAAATTCTTCCTTTTTGTAGGAGCTAATCAAAACGATATACATCGACAACACAGTGTCTTCAAAAAGAAAGGCTGACCCAAACAATACCAAGGATTATGATGGTCAAAATGGAGTTCGCTCTGTCCGAGTTAGTCCAGACGGCCAACAGTTGGCCTCTGGAGACAGGGAGGGCAACATCAGAATTTACGATATGATGACGTTTGAAGAAGTCTGTCGAATCGAAGCGCACGATGCAGAGGTTCTATGCCTAGAGTACAGCCCCATAACTACAAAGAAACGGTTTCTTGCCTCAGCATCCAGGGACAGGCTGATACATGTTTTTAATGCGGACGACAATTATTCATTTTTGCAAACCTTGGATGATCACAGTTCTTCCATTACTGCTGTTAAATTTTTGTGCCAAGGTAGCAGACTGTGGTTAGCATCATGTGGAGCTGACAAAACAATAATTTTCAGGCACCTTCAGCCGGTAAATTCACAGTATTATATGTTTTATGGATTTTTTATTTCATATTTTATTTTGTAGGGAAATCCAGCAATATTTGTGAGAGATCACATAATTGTTGGAAAAACAACCCTTTACGACATGGAAGTCAATTTACGAGACAGGCAGGTGGTGACTGCCTGTCAGGATAGAAATATTAGGGTGTTTGACGTTTCTACTGGAAAGCTCAGCAAATCCTACAAAGGCTCTTATGCAGAAGAAGGTTCTTTAATAAAGGTAAAACTTGCACATCCTCAGCAAAAATCATTTTTAAAAATGTTGATTCGTGAAGGTTGTGGTGGACCACTCTGGCAAATACCTTGCTTCAAGCTGCACCGACAAAACACTGTGTCTAATTGATTACAACTCTGGAGATTGTATTTCCACCATGCTGGGCCATTCAGAATTGGTCACCGGGCTCAAATTCACTGAAGACGGCAAATACTTAATCTCAGCTTCTGGAGACAGCTGCCTTTTTGTGTGGAAACTACCTCAGTTCATGGCAACTCAGCCAGAATATCATCCACCACCTAAAGAGGAGTAAGAAAAATTTCTAGTTTTAATTGCCTTTTATAGTTTTTGTTTCAAGGTACAATATGGGTCAACTGTTAGGACAACTGCCACCATGGGCTGCCAAGCAGTCAAGAATTGAATTCATGTCTCTGACCAACTCGAACTCGAAGCAGATTGAAATGCCCAAAGGACGCTGGGCGCAAAAACTGGATACCTCCAGCACAGGATTGAGAAGCGTCAACAGTTTTAATAGTGTTATTCCGAAAGGTATTCTAGACAATAAGGCCGTAGTTTTCAGTTGTAGTATTAGACCGTTTAATTTTTTAACAGTAACTGTTGGAAGTGATGATGGTAATGCTGTGGTTTTGATAGCAGGTAATGAGGATACACAAAGCATGCCTGCTGAGTATCACTCTTTGGGCTCAGATCCGCCAAAGCACGATATTGGTACTTACGAGGTTTGTTCAAGACATCTGATAATATTTTGTTACTAATTATTGAATTGATGAAGGCGGGTGTGGATGGAGATGTAGAGGACTGCTCTGATGGTGAGCCTCAACACTCAAAAGGCAAAGGGTTAGTTTACTATCCAAACCAAGAGGACAGCAACAGCGAATACACGATCAGGTCTATGGATGTAAATGAGTTAATCATGGAGAGAAAACTTCAGACTGACTATTCTGCCACCGACTCGCCCAGCAATTCAAAATTCGGAAGCCCCGACAGCGACATGGATGACGGGGCCTCCACTCCAAGCACCAATGAACCTGCAGACAAAAATTTCCCTTCGCTGTTATCGGGAAGGTCAGTAATTTTGTCTTACATTGACTCAAGGATTTAACCCTTTTTTCTCCAGTACGGAAAGCCTTGACAAAACTGATTATGAAGATCGATTTGTCAAATCAAACTTTGAATCATTAGTCGGTCCAGATGGACAAAGTGTAGACAAATGGGGTGCAGGGAACAGTTTGTCCTCACAGTTCCTCACAAAGTTCAACAATGCAAGGAACTCGGCCTTAATTTCGGCTGCTAGGCAAACTAAAGAAGAACTCAACAGTGCCAGAAAAAGAGAAGAGCTTCAAAAAAGGATTGAGGCAACAAGACAGAAGCTTCAAAGTGTAATAACAATTTGATAAATATTCAATCATGATATATCTATATAATTTGTTCATGATTTACAGGTTGGCTTCCGAGCTCCACTCACTAATTCACAAAGCTCAATGGATTTGAGACGGATAGGAGATAATACTAGGTTTATTTCAAGTTTATCTAGAGGTGCGTGCATTAGACTGAATAAATTTTAATTTACAATGAACTATATAATTTTTAGCTAAACCAAGCAAAGAAGAAAACAGTGGAGGAGGAAGCGGAGGTTTACGACGTGCCATTTCTTTGAGCAACCTGAATGCACCTATCAAGCCAGCAGAAAAGAATTCACCAAAAGGTGCTTTGGCACCTGATTATGGTCCTCTGATGGACAAACTCTCCCACTGCACATCATATGAAGTTCTATACCAGGTAAATAAATTTTTCAAATTCAAATGTTCCTTTAAATTTTGTGATTTTAGGTTGATGACCGACCTGTTCCTCCAGCACGCAGAAACTCCGTAAGCTCCCTGAACAAATCAAAGTCTTTATCTTCCAGTCGTAGAAATTTCAAGAAGTTATCGGCTTCCACAGGTAATATTTACAAAAAAAAAATTTGTAATTTATTTTGTTAAAAATTGTAAAATTCTAGATAACATTGCTCATATCGGAGATGGGGGTGATTATTCTAGCTCTGAGGAAGCCGTCAAACACGCAAGAAAATTGCCAAGCAGGGAATTGTGAGTGCTGAAATAAAAATTGCATTTATAAATAAAAAATTTATATTTTTGTCAGGAATTCTGCCTCCCCACTTTCATCAAGAAGTGAAGGATTATCTGACCGGAGGCCTAATAGTCCCGCCACATCAGTCACCTCTGATAACAGTGAGATAATTAATAGATGCTGTAGCTATTTTTCTTATAATATTTCTTGATCTTGCAGTCACCAAAGAATTGTGCCTAAAAACTGTTGATCTGCTGGAGCAGAGCGCCGAGGCATTGGTCCAGCTGCACAAACGCATCTTGGCAGAAGTTGGACCAAGCAATGGCAAAGACCTTTTGCAAACCTTGAGTGCTGCTGCCGCTCAAACCCAAAAGAAGCTGCAAGCTGTAACCTCTGGAGCTGGTGGTCCCCCTGCAGAGGTTGCGCCGGCCCCTATGCAGGGTGACATGGTGCTCATCATGCAGCAGTACAGTGATATGCTTGTCTCGATGGTCCAGCAGCAGATATCCAGCAACCCACCGTAACATTCCAATTTTAAATTTTTATTCCCATCAAAATTTGTAATCGTTGCATATATTATGAAATTTATTTACACACATCTTATTGATTAACAAAATATACTTACTTTTAAGCTCACTTATACAGTACAATACAAGTCTTTTGCATTTCTTTGTGCCTTTCCTTAAGGTTTTAAGTGGTACAATAAGACAAAACTAAAAATCAGGGTGTCTAAACATTTTTATTAATTACAAACCTGCTTTCTATACATGAGATTTCAATTTCTGCACCTAGAATTTCTCAATCAATGGCCTCTCGTGGCAATACTACACCCACTATCTTCACAAGGCAAGTTTAGCTTATTAAAATAAAATAACGTTATTTAAACTTAAGCTTAAAATGAACGGTAAATCAGTTGCGTGGCCTATTATTATTATTATTGTTGTTGTTGTTGCTTGGCCTGGCTTGCTGAGGTTGTCTGGCCTGCTGAGGTCGGGGTGCAGGAACATTTTCCTCTTCTTCCTCCAGGCTCTGTCCGCCTCTCTGCGGGGTGTCGTCGTCTTCATCAACGAAAGGTGCAGGGGTAGGAGGAGCCTCGCAATCTTCAGTCGGGGGAGCAATACAGCGGAGGGTTCGCCTGTCGAAGACCAATTGGGCAGGGCACCTCTGCAGACGGGGGTAGCCACCCTGGCACTGCCAGTACCTGTTGCACGACTTTCCAAGAGGAACATTTCCATTGGGGTCTTCATTACAGAGGGCTAAAATGGCGTTGGATTCAGTCGGATTCCTAAATTTATTTTTTCAATCTTACGGTGCTTCTGGCAGCCCTCGACATTGTCGGGCCAGTCGCAAGAGTGGGCCTGTTCACTGTAAAGCAGACCTCCAATGCAGAGCTGTTCGGTGGAAGTTCCGTTCCAGCATGTCCAGTAGCGAGTGCAGGAAGTTTCATGTCCGAAGATGCCGTAGAGCCAATCGCAGTGCTCAGTGGAAATGGGAGAATCTAATTGATTTTAATTTTTTTTATAAACTTCTTCAATTTTTAAGTAAAATGTATCTTACTGGCAAGCTGTTTGCCTTCGCAGTAGTTTCCCCTCCAAGGGTAGTCGCAGCCCTCGGTGACACCGCGGTTTTTGCCGGCGTAGACGAGGCCGTTGGGACAGTCAAAAAGCTCAGGTTGACCTCCAACACATTCCCAGTATCTGTCGCAGTATGTCTCGTCTGGGACGACGCGACCCTTTACTTGGCAAGGGTCCAGTTGACCTTTACGGGTGGCCTGTTGCGCCAAACCTTGAAAAGAAAATATTCCGTGAGAAAATATTTTAGTTTCTCCGTTTGTGTCGAAATCAGGTTGGAACGCATTATGAATGGAGACGGCAGTATTGTTTAATTTTTACATAATACCCTAGGGTTCATGAACTAGGAAGCGGGTCAAAGGTGTGTTACAGCAGAAATATTAATTATAGGGAACTCTATCCATGGGTTCTTTTGTGTTACGCAACCAGACGACGCAAATCCGTCTATTATATCCTCCTGCCTAATGATGATACATTTTAAATCAGCATCAATTGCCTGCCATGCTTATTAATTATTTAAGACACTTTGGTGCCTAGCCGTTTTGGAGGAAATTTCAGAGTCGAAATGATTTCACCTTTTAGAAAGTTTTTTATTGACAAGAATTAATATTAATCTTTGTTAACAACTTGCGGGGCGGCAGGGAAAGTCGTGCAGAGATGATTTGTTTTCCCAGATTTATAATTATTGCTGGCATCGAATTAAAAATTGTGCCTTCCAGGGGTATTTTTGTTCAAAGATTTTGTTCCTTCTATAAGTATAGTTAGATAGCTAAGAAATATAGATAGTACTTTCTGGAAAAACCAACGCCCTTGCTTAAAACAGGCCGTTCGTCATGTGATATTAAGAGAACGACACACTAGAGCACTTTTATAATAATTGCTTTCACGTTTCACTGCGCTAACCAACCGGCATTCGACATCAATTTTCTTTTGCTGGTCAACGTAATGAAGTGCAATTTAAAACGACCTTAGCGTATATCCATTATGTTTGCATTTTTAAGCACAGAAATTTAAATTAAATTCAAGCATAATTAAATTACTCAAATTAGAGTAAAAAAAATATTTTCCTTCTCACGTGATATGAAAATTGAACAAAAAGATCACCTAAATTTTCTTGCTTTTTCCCACAGCAAAAATCGTGTCAATGTCCTTCAGTTTCAATCTTTCTACAGTGTGAAAAAACAGCGTGCGTATAACTCATTCTTCTCATTGTCTGCCTGATTACATTTAAAACGGGGCAGACGAGTTTTTGCGATTATAATTAATGCACATATCACCAACTGCTAAGGTTGCATTCATTAAAGAAATAAGGATCACATTTCAAAATCAGTCGCTTGGGGCAGGCGGCAGGCGTTATTGCACAACACTAATCTCATTAGAATAACCTTTTGGGCGGCTGCAAATATATTAATTCTCACTATTTTTCTTTGACCCATTAAAACCGTCATATTTTTTTGCCTAAGAGTTTCTACGCCTTTGACGAAACGATGAAAGTGGTCTCAAAAGAAAAAATAATATGTTATTTGAGCCAACGTTTGTTTCACACGAATAACCTGGCCACAACAGGTATTATATTCCAAGCACACTCAAGCCCTTTCGTTGTTGGAATATTAATTAATCAGGCAAGTATTGTTCAATGGCAATTCTGTTCTGCGCCTTTTGCGGTATTGGGTATATATTGTTTGTCTGAAGCGAAACCAAAGGCGTTCACTGAATTAACTCCCTAACGCATGGTGTGTGACATTTTAAATCTTTTATCTTTCAACTAATAGATTTTTCTGACGCCAAGAGATAAGGAAAATCATTTTGAATAAACACATGGATATAATTTTTAAAATTCAAATATAAACCCCTTGAATGCCAAGACGTTCCCTTAAAATTGCAAATGGTTACTATAAAACTTATAAATATTATAATAGCTAGTATGTTATAATACATTAATTAAATTAATATTTTGCGTTAATATCTAATTTATATCAATAAGAAATGTTCTGCAACCTAAATTTTAGTCGTTCATTTAAATTTAAAAAAAAAATGATTCCTTTAAAGAAGGCGTAAAAGTATCAATATCATTAATAATATTAGTAACCTGAAAAAATTATAACCATGGGTATTTATAATTTAATTATGAGTAAATACAGTGGATTAATCTGTAATAAAATAATGTTTGAAGAAATATTAATCTGCCACTTACCGGCAGCAACGAAGCAAGAGAGAAAGATGAGGACATTCGATGTGGACCTCATGGTGGCTCAGGAGCGACTGTAGACACCACGGAAGAAAGTTGAGCTCCACCTGAGGCCCCTGAGTGTGTGTAGGAGAGAGTTGCCCTCGCGCCGTTGGTGTGGCGAGCGCCAGGCGCTCTTCTCCTTGTGTTTCCACCGCTCATCGACATCTCTAGCCCAGCAAAGCGATCGGCTCTTTGTGCAAGGTGCTTCTCGCAAATGAGGTGTCCCATTCAGCAAGATCGGCGAGTCTGCAACTCATCGTTTTGCATAAATTACCAAGCGGTTGCGGGCGAGAGACGAGACGCGGAAATGTCAAACTTAATTTCGCTTGTGCGTGTTTGCAGCGCGTTGGGCAACCCATAAATCAAGGCAATTGTTGCCAAAGTGTATAAAGTAAACTTAGACGAAAAAAATATGCGTGTTTTATCAATGCAATTACTTTATTATTCGCAACAGTTAAAGCTGTGTTAATGCAAGGATTATTATTATTCCTTTTAAAATTAATTAATGTATATTTATTTTATTTATGAACGAACATTTTGATTTAAAAATAATGATCCATAAAAAGCCACTTAATTTTATGGCTATTTAAAAAGCATTCTGCAATTTTAAACTCTTTGTGAGCAGAAGTTTTAGTTTATTCAAAAATAAATTTTAATAAAATTAAATATTGTTGAAAATATAACATAATTTTATATAATAAATCTTGATTTATTAAGTTAAAATAATTTTTAACAATGTGGAGAAAATTTTTGATCTAATTATTTACAAATCTCTAACCTGTTTCTTGTGATGATCACCAGTTTGTTTTTGTCGGTAGCAATTTTTGCGCGAAAGTCGCGCGAGTGTGCCAAGTAGAGGCAAGTATAAAAAGTAAGTAGTTCAGAGAAGGTGATTCGTAAATTACGTTCATCCACCCCATGCCGTCTCTCTTGTTGAAATTTGAGTGAAAGAAAGCAACAGAGGAACGAAAGAAGAAGCGCGATGCTCGACCGCCGCTTTCTTTGCTTGCAGAGCAGAGAGCATCGATTTGTGCTTCAAAAATAATCCACGCCGGCTGCCTTCTTGTCATCTGCAAGGCGCTCAAGTCTATCGCTGCTTTTACTTTAGTTTGCGCGCTGCGATTAGAGAAATGCAAGCTCAAGCGTAAATTCCAATGTTTGGTGAAATTTGTAATTCTGGAAAGAAAATAAAAGGTCATTCATAACCTTATCATTTCTAATTTCAATAGCAAAAATGTCATTTTTAAATAACATTTCTCCTTAAACATTTTAAACACTTATAAATTACCAAAAGTTAAAAAGAAATGTTTTTTATCAAGTGCGAGTGCGTCAAGTTCGCGGATCAAATAACACAGTCCGACTGGTTTTGATTGCAACTCAAAAGCTTTCTGATTTGGTAAAAGAAGTTGTACGCTTAACAGTGACACCAATCCAAATTAAATTTTAGCTCCTGCTATTGTCACTGTTTATCTTTCTAGTTTTCACGATTTTTGAGCAAAGCTTGAAGTTCAAAATATTAAAATCATCTTTTTGAAGAACTCAGTACAACTATAAATTTTTAATTTAATTTTCATAAATTAATAACACGATTCTTATATAGCATGTGAAAAGATGAAATATAATTTAGAATTCTGTGTAGAGGAATTCATTTCTTTTTTTTATGACACCACTTTATTTTACAATTAAGCACATCATTATTTTCAGAAGTAACATATTATTTGAATGTGTAGCTGTTATTTGCGCTATAAAAGTTTTTATTGAAGCCATATAATATAATCAACGCGTGGCTGTTAGATGGACGGAAGAACTAAAAAGGGCACGATGCATTGATTACAGAAGAACTCTGTGAAAACCTCTTGAACCAAACGGGTGTGATTACGCTGCTTGAGTAATTAATTAAGTTTCAAAAGGAGGCTGCATGCTGGAGTCGTGTGTGCGCGCGGACGGAGAAAGTGCCGCGCGCGGCACATACCCAGCAGCTACTGAGCTTATATTTGTAAGTACTTTGGCGTTCCGTGCATAAAAACACAGAATTACACACACAAGACAAGGTGCGCGAACTTTAATGAGAGGCATTAAAATGCCGTACGCGAGAAAATGCGCCGAGAGCACTTATAGTTTGCCAATCGGCGAGATATGTAAATTTATATATTTGTCCAAGAAAAGAGGAAGAAAGATGGTCCTCTCTCGCGCGCTGAGTACTTTTTAGGGGCCGAACTTCGTTTCCTGGCTGCTGCTTCTTTTTAATCCCAACAGTTTTATTACCATTCAGAGAAAGTGATGGCGCGCCTTTTGAGGTTTTCAAGAGAACCAGTCCAACTGACTGCGCGAGATCAAAGGTTAAACCCACCCGTTGCGTCACCGCGAGTGTCTTTCTTCTCCGACAGCACACAGAGAAAGGTCCACAGGCTTATTTGAATATTTTTTACCGTGTGAGTTGGATTAATACTTTCCTATACCGCTCCGTAAATTATGCCATAAATTGGTTGGTAATGGCTTCTTTAAGAGTGGCGAAAAATAATTGCTCCTGTCCAAAAGGTTCTTCTTCTTCCTAAACTTTTTTATGCACTTTCCAAAATTTAAAAGTCGACTTTTCACATCAAATGAATGAATTTTCGCAGGTTTATGGATATTTTAATGGCTATATCTCATATACATACTTGCGTCAGTTGTTCTCACTTTTCTCACGAAACAAATCCATTCTATAGGAGAGTATGCTTATTTGATGAAATAGCTGTAGGTTGGTTTTGTAATTCATGAGCACACCTCCGTAATGCGATTCTGAGGGAAATTGCTTTGGTACATAGAGGAGTTTTCATATGGTGGTGTTTAGTTTCCAGGTGATTGTTCACCATACCCCAGAATCTTATGTGACAAAAGGCATATTAAATTTAGAAAATATGATTGATGACTAAAAATAATTTAATTAATAAATTGTTTTCAAAACGTTAATAAAATTGTCCTAAAAATAAGGGCGATTAATTAAATTCTGTAAATAAGGCGAAATGATATAAATAAAGTTCTTGAACTTCTTTTTGAATCACAAGACTGAAATAGCATCATGAGTCTAACTCCATTAGTCTTTTTGCGGGTTATTTCTGTGCAGCTTATATACTTATAAATTGGAAGAAACACTAGAATAAGGCGCTGACACTTTATTCTAAAATTATAACCTCACGTGTGTAGTGTGCATGCGGTGCCAGGGCGTGCTTCTTGTATGGGTTCATAGCAGTGAAAGTTCAATAGCACGTACTCGTGCAGCTCTTTAATCTGAAAAATGCTATTCGCTCTCACAGCAGGAAAACGTCGGCGGATACGAATTATTTAATGAAGATGGATTGCACAAATGTGTGTGCTCCTTTTCCTGTTGCCAAATCTTATTCGCAACTCCATTTAAATTTTACCTAATTTGCTCTGGTTTCTTAAAAATTTATAAATAGAATTTCTTTTATGTTCTAAAATCAAATTCAGAGTTGTATTGCACTGACATAAAATATATTATTATAATATGAAATTAAATAAGCATATGCCCAGCGTTACTTTTTTACTAACAAAAGAAAAAGGGAAGGAATAAAGATTTGACCCAGATTTGGGTCATTAGACTTTTCATTACTATAGAAAGATTTAAATGAGAAAAAACGTTTTTTAATATCAATTTATTCAAATAAAAACATATAAATTGTTTTTTCTTTTATAACGTGCTTTTGTAATATAAATCAAATAACAATTTTTTTTTAATATTCAAAAGCATACCGTGAGAAGTGAGATAGGCCGATATTTTTATCTTAGTAATTCACATAGTATTGAAAAGTAAGAGCTGCGAGATAATTTTTTTAATTATCTACTATTTTATAAAATTAACTCACTCTCACGTCAGTAACAGCTAAAAATTATTCTCATATAAAAAATAATTCTAAAAATATTAAAAATCAAACGGTGTGCTTTTCCTTTTTAACTCCTGGCCGATGGGGAATGCAACCTGTAAATGAGCGGTGCACTGCGAATTGCCTACCTATCGAAATCTGCAGGGGCGCGGAGACCTGGCGCACGGGCAAATCGAAGGACGGCGCATAGCGTGCTTACGTGACACATCGCACTCTCTCGGCTTTAGGGACAACTGCTAGCATTTTCTGGCTGATGCAAGAACATTCCACCAGCTTGAAATGAAACTACCAACCTAAGCAGTAAATCAATTAAATTCACCTATATTGAATTTTTACAATGCAAGCATTAAAACTATGAAAAATGGGCGAAAAAAGATATGTATTGTCAGATTTAGTCTAAAAATTAACGAGAAATTTGATGTTTTTGCAATATCAATGCATAAATTAATTGAAATCCAATTAAGTGATTGCGTCAATAGCTCGGTCACGTTGGCAGCAGCACGGCCATGTTTACTTTTCCTCAAAACATTGGCATGAATCACACAGCAAAGTCTCAGAAAGCCCTGAAAAGTGATGAAAGCAGCCTGATTGACCACGATTTTCCTGTCTGAAGTATCAAGTGCGTTTGTCGAAGATGTTTTGCGTCGAAATTTTCATCGTGCAAGCCGAATCGAGTGCCGAGATGAGTGAAAACTGGCAGCATCTGTCTCCAAGGATGATGCAGAAGTACCTAACGAAGTACCCTTTCGGGAAGCAAAACGCGCCGCATTTTTACTGTTCGCCGGATTTGTCGGACACTAGAAGAACCGCCGATTGCTGAAGTGTGCTTTTGGTGCCAAAAATGAAGTTCACGGACACTTTGAACACACATTTTGTGCCGCAGTTCGCAATGGCACCCAAGGAATTCGCAGCCTTGCCTAGGGTCAGTGGTGCTTCGATCACCATCGTGCAGTCGAACAGCTCCCTCTGTACCTGTCCGTTGGGTAGAACATACGCCGAGGTCGTCAAACTCATACCTAGGTGAGAAATTAAAATTTAAAAAAATAATAATACATATGTTTGTAAATTTCAGAATATATTTTTTTTTTAATAGAAAATTTTCATGCATATTACATAATTGATAAAAAAGAGGCAATAAAGATTATAATATTTTATGTAGGTGCATATTTATCCGTATTTTAGTAATAATTTTAATTCGCGAGAATAGTTTTTGCCAGATTTTCCGTACAAAAAATTGCACCTTTTTACAAAGTTGGCGCGCTTTTATTGTGCACAATGAGAAGCATGAGCATAATAGTGAAAGTCTGCATCCAGGGTCCAAGGTTGAAAAATTCACTTTCACTGTTTTAAACTAGTGGACTAAGAATTGATTGGCTTCCAGTGATTATTAAATTCAGTTCTATTTAATTAGAAATTAATGTTTACAAAAAAAAATTCATTATTGGAGCGACCCTGAACTTATTAAACTTTGTCTCATCAATTTAAATAATAGTATTGGAAACTTGTTATTGTATACTTTTTTAATTTTTATTTTTGCTAGAAGTTTTTCTGTCCTTCACAAGGTGCCAGCTAAGCATTTTTTTTTACCCGATATCATTTTTGCTTGAGGATTTATCTTATCGACTTGCCGCTGTTAAACAGGGCAGGTTTCCCCATTGTCAACTCGCACAACTCAGCGATTTTTCTTCCGATAAATCAGCAAAAAATAATTTTTAGCGTCTTTGTCTTTATATTTTTATTTCAAACCTTGACAAACAATAATTTTACTTCATTCTAAAAAAAGCAAAGAACCTATTATAGCCTCCGTAGAAATAAAAATTGCATGTTGCAACCCCCACCCACATCAACTTACTGGGTTAGTCATAAATTTTCATCATCCTGAATTTCTACTGAAACGCAACAAAATATGTGATTAATATTTCACATAAACTTAAATCAATTTGATATTTGGTTCTTGTATTTCTTCACAACATAAGGAAAATATTATGCAAAATGATTCTACATTATTCATATTACGATGCAGCCGTTCATGTCACCACCCAGCGTTCCTGCTCCTCTTGTGTCATAGAATGCAACCAAGAATTATACTTCTTGTATGCAACCCATATAGGGCAGCGGTTTTATGAATTGAGCTGGCATATTAGTTCTTTAGTGAAAATGCAATATATGAAATGCAATATGACAACGAGTGGAAAACAACTGGCCGCTTTGTGCGGTGCAAGGAGAATTTTTACTGGACATAGATTAATTAAGATAAATAAATAATTAATCATGATTTTTTTAAGAGGATTTTACGTGGTTTTACTGACACTGCAAGAAAAACTGGGCTTTGAAGATTGGAATACAAACCAAAATTTTTAATTGAGAATTAATTTTAATTGCTCCAAAATTAATATTTTTGAGTCACAAAAAACCCGGAAAATTAGCGTAAACAGAGCAACATAACTGGCCTGGATTGCGATTTCGCCCAATGGCTCATCACACTAATAACTATCTTGATAATTAAATAATTATTAATTTAATAAACAAGTGATGTGTTTGAAACGTTTATGATGGCTTGCTGACCGGGCTAATATTCGGCCTCCAAAGGTTGTTCCGGCTGACGGGTTCCGGATAATATGTTTAATTTCGGTGACTTTCATAACAACGTTGCTCAATCATCTGTGCATTTGCATAGCATTTTGTGAAGTTGTGCAGTACTAGTTGAAAGACAAAAAGATGCATAAATTGGCACTGGTAGCTTCAAACTATATTATGAAAATATCTTTTATCGGGCGTTCATATTTCCAAAAGCAATGGAAGAACTGTAATTGTAGGATTGCATTTACTTCTTAGTGATTATTACCTCTGGATTTTAACTCTCAAAATGGCTATTCTTTAAATAGCTGGTACATATAAGTGAAAGTTAAAAAGTTTTTGAAGGTTTTAATAATTAAAATACTATATTTTAATTTTCATCAAAAAGTAGCTTAAGAAACATGTATTCTTTTTTTAAAATTAATTTGAGCTTTTTTTATTTTAAATTTCAGAATATCTGGTTTGTCGAGTGTGCCGGCCAAAACGCCAACAGCCCCGGCGTCAACAATGCCTTTTGCCACTTCAACAGACAAAAAGCCTCCGTGCAAGCCTCCGATCACACCCAACTTCAAATTCTGCAACTTTTCTTTCACCAACAACAAGGTGCGGTTGCAGCCCCCGAGGGCGAATCTTTGGCGGTCAAAGCTTTTTCGTCAGGAGCAGAACAACCACTGGAAAAACAACAAAAACAAGAGCAAAGTTCTGCCGATCGCTAACTACAACTGGAGAACGCCGTCACCAGTGATGGAAACGCCGGCAGGAATTTGCGCCCTGCAAGTCGTCGTCTCCCAGGTCTTGGAAACTAAGTTGCCTAAGCCCCAGGAGTCACCTGAGCATAAGACTGAAAAAACTGCTCTCCGTGAGAGCACCAAAACTTTTAGGATTAGATGTCTGTCGGAATCCTCCCAGGTAATGACGTCAGTGGAAAGTCTTATTGATTTGCATTTCTAATGGTTATTTTCTTATTTGCACCAACAGGCTAGTGAAGACAGCATAGTCACATTTGACAGATGCTCCGGCTCGTACGAGTCGGAAATTTCTTCTGATGAATATGAAGCGAGCGAAGACGAAGAAACCACTCTGAGCGAAGGCGTAGAAGACTGCACAACACCAGAAAACTCAAGCGGGTCTGAATCTGAAACTGAGGACAGTGATAGTGACGAAGACATGGATGATGGGCCAGTTTTACAGGTACAAAAAATTATAAATATCAATAGTAAATCTGATACAAACCTTAAAATTTTTTATTGACATTTGCCACGCCAATATAATTTTTTCTCCTTAAGTAAAAAGAAAAATCTTGTATTTTTAGGTCGGAAAATGCGATAAAGTTCACTTGCCACTGGAAATTGAAGTTCCTCCGCCACCAAGACTGCGTAGCCAATCTCAGTCATCGCTCACCTCAGACTATGATGAAAGTGACGACGACTTCATAGTGTTTGCACAGGTAAATATTTTAATTTCAACGTCCCTTTACTTTACACGTTAATGCTTCTTGATCTTGAAACGAGCGCGCGCGCTCAAGGGTGTTGTCTGATGAATTTACAATTTTGAACTGGTTCGTCGGTGGCATTTACAGTACTCGCGGGTCTGGCACTGGTCCAGCGGTGACAAAACCAGAAATCACGGGCGGATTAATTGAATTGGCTCAACCTCTAAGTAGCACTCAAGTAAAATTATGCTTTTGACCGCTCAGCCGAAACGTATCAGATCAAATTATATTTGCACTCCATTCAAATCCGCGGTGGAACTGAAACGATTTTCATCCACTTTTCCTTGAAAATGATTCAAACAATGTAAGGGGTGCTTGCTGCTATTTTTAAGTCTCACAAGAAGAGGGAAATTCTCTGCTGAGAGTTGGTTATTTTTTCGCAGTCATGAGTAAAAAGCGAGAGTGTGACGTGAAGGGGTTATTAATTTCCGCGCGAATTGCGCTACTGTCCGTCCGAAGGCTGTTTGCCAGTTGTTTATTACAACAGCCGAATAATGCAGCGCTCCGTCGCGAGGACCGATGTCCAAATTGTTCGGTGCATTCTATGCTCGTTGCGCGAAATGGAAGGACACTTGGGTTCAGCAAAGGAGAAGCATACGCGGATCCTCTCATAAGGTTGGTTTAGATTTGTGGCATCCCAGGGAAATTGGAAACGCCCAAATAAACTGAAAACTCGCGTCTTTTTGGGATTAGTAGATTAGAAAATTTGCATTTTTATTAAAGAGCTTTGCTATCTTGTTTATGTACACTACAAAGTTGTTGATTTTATGTGTCGTAATTGAATTAACAAGTTTCAAGTGAGGTTCCCCTTCAGACTTGAAGTTAGTTCAGACGTTTAATGGGCAAGTAAATTAATGTTGACCAACTCACCGTTTTTATTGTAATTACGGTAATTACTTAACTAACAGCAATTAAAAATCTATTCAAAGCACTTCAAAATGGGGCATTTTCTTTTCATTTCCTTGGGAACAAATCTAAATCAAACCTCATTAATGGATTCTTTAATTTAAATTGAAGAACTATAAATCGTTTTCCCTCTCTTGTAATAAATTAAAGAGCCTGCGTTAACACGGTGATATATCCGATTCGCATAAATCAAAATTACACGGCCGCCCTCGACAAACTGTCTGGCAAATGCGCAAAGTACGTACTTATGTACTCTTGAGCAATTCCGCAGATGCATTAGCTTTTCGAATTCGTTGCAGTTTGCTTTTGTGTATAAAAGCGCGCCGGGTGTCGCGCGACAGCGTCAGATGAAGTCGTTTGCCGAACTGACCAAGCGGCGACTTAACGACGATACGGCCGTGTCCCAATCAATTAGACACCCCAAGGTGACTAATGCTAAATTTAGCCCGCGAGCTGCCGCTTGCCATCTGATGCACAGACACACCGACAGCTTTTTCCGATCGCCATCGATACCCGCGATCTCTTGACTAAAATTCCCGTTGTGATTGAAAATTAAGCCGCCTTCTGATGTGCAGGATTCCGAAGAGGAGGAAGAGGAAGAGAGCGAGGATGAGGCCGACAACGTCCAGGTCACACCTGTTCCTCATCGCAGAAGACACCCCGAGAGAGTCAAACCGGCAGAGCTGAAGGTGAGTCGTTTTTGCCAAATCACGAGCTACAATTCAAAAGAAGGGGCGCTTGAACTTTGCCAAATTCACTGCAGGGGGATAAAAAAGTTTTTATTTGTTTTGATTGGAGGTCGGCCAGTTGTGTTAGGTGACAATGAGTTGGTCTTGGTCGAACAATCGTTCGGGTTAAATGGAACGAAATGAGAAAGACATTAGTGGTGTCCATCTTTCTTTCATATGTATAGACAGCATTCTTCACTTAGTTTCTTTTTGTCTCTTCTGGTTTAATTATTTGCCAAATGAATCCATGAGGCTGAATAAAATGTTATTTCAAATTTATTTAATTATTATTTGAAAAAGCAAACGTTTGTTCTGTAATTAGCAAATAAATTGTCTTAAAATAGGGGAAAAAATTATTAATAAGTAAAAGAATTTATTAAAAAAAAAGAATTAAAAATGTAAATATTCAGTGCTTGCAATTGAACTCTATTGGCCCAAGAGATAACAGAGGCATCTTGATTACTGAATGTTTCCAGCATGGGGAAATTTCTTTTTGCCACTGCATTTTGTAACTTTGCGCATGGCTTTTGTCGCTTTTGTTTTATTTCTGATGTAAACATTCAGCTTGATGGACACGTCTAATGAAGCCATTGATTCAACTTCTTAATTTATTTGAATTAATGCGTCACTTTCATTTGAATTGAGGAATGGTCTGTTTTTTTTTTCTTCTTTTTTGCAATTATTTTAAAACCTTACTATGAATTTAAAATTATAATTAATACGTATTTTAATTTCAGGTTCGATTTGCTGACAATGATGAAATCTGCCCTCTTTATGATGACGACGACTGCAGAAAGGCGCGGGTTGGTGAATGGGAAGAGCGAGCGCGCGACAGCAGTCGGTTCCGGGCCAGGATAGCAAACTGCGCCACAATAATATCGCCCATCCTTACTCCTGAACACCGTGTGAAGATTCAAGAAAAGTTAAAGAGGCTAGAGGAAAATCAAAGCAGAGACTCTCATGTGAACAAAAAAGCTGCTGAGAAAGTTCCAACCAGTGGCGTTGACCGGAGAAGATCGGTCCTGGTCCACTAGTTTTTAATATAAATAATGTTAATGCACGGTGACAAGTAATGAGTTTATCAAACCTTATCTACAATAATGCTTGAGGTAAAAACGGCTTTATTTTTTATCATCTCAAAATACCTAATCATTTATATGCTTTAATTTAATGTGTGGGCATTGTTTCAATTACGGTCTGAGCTAATTTCTGCACACAATGCTTAATTTTTGTGCTGCCCTAAGAAATATATTAACTTGCCATTGATTATTTTATTTGTTAAGCTCTGAATACAATTTGTTCCTTCAGATTGTTCTTGACCCACATGATATGATGAATGGTAGTTATGAATAAAATTATATTTTAATAATTAAACAAAAGAGTTTTGTTTATCAACTCATTGACCCAAATGTTTTGTAAGGTTAACAACCTTATTGGACTATATAATTAATTATTTAAGTTAATATGGGTTAGATAACTCTATTTAATTAATTATTTTGGTATAAATAAGTTGATTTAATCTTAGTTTGTTAATTATTTTTAATTTTGAAGTTGTTTTGGATACAATTGATTTTTTATATGAATTTTTAGAAGCATTCAAGATGCATTTTTACTGTACAATTACCCACACAACTGTATTTTATTTTCTTAAGACAAGAGAGTAAAAGTTTAAATGAATATCTTCATTATTTTGAACACTGATTGTTTATTGTTGTTTGTTGATATTATCTTGGTTTACAATTTTTTTTAGTAAAAGTACAAAATGAACAGAGACTGATTGGATAGCTAGCAGACTGACAATAGTAGCAAGTTGAGAAATAGCAAGAAATGATTCAGTCTAATAAATTAAGGCATGTTACTTGACACGAAAAAGGCACAGAATTTGTCACGATTAAAAAAATGAGCTGCACTGATCCAGTATTAGATATGCAATAAGTGTATGTAATTTAGGCTTATTTTAAAAAATTATTTTTACTTGATTTATGATTTTTCATAATGCATACACCTTTGAATGATAAAGAGATACCAATTGAGCAGCTAGTTACTTCAGAATTATTTATCAAGCTCATTATTGGACAACCATATCTCTAAAATTGACTTTCGTTAAAATATTGTTACGTATGATCTGACCAATATTTTAGTGCTAATTCCGTGAACAGTTTTGGTCCTGAGAGACAATTCTTGCATTTACAATACATCTATACATAGATATGCACACATTAACAGTAGTATTTTTTAAAGGTTTGAAACAAAAATAAATTTTTCAAATATGAAGTAGGCAAAAAAAGTAGGTAAATGCAATCAACAGAGAGCAAAATATAGAGCTGCTAAATGAGCACTAAAAGAGGAGTAATTTATAAAAAATTTAATTTAAATTATTATGGATAAATCAAATAAATAGACAAAAATGCAGATTTCTGGGAAAAATTATCCTTGTGAGAACTCTTACTTTGGTTTACCAGTTGTCTAAGAAGTCAAGCCCAGTTTTAGGAATACCCTGGAATCCAATTATAGACATTATTATTGTGAGTATACTTATTATAAAAAAATTGCATACATCAATTGAATTGGCATTTTCAAAATCGCCAAGAGTTGGACTGCCTGGTGTAAGTAGAGTAGTGTCCCCATCTGTTTCATCCCTCCATTCACTTCGAGCGTCTGAAAATTCATCTTCGGTCGTTGGTTCCGTTGAAATTGTCTAAAATAATTTCAATATCAATAACTATTTACAACACCTTTAGCAGATTAAAAATCTACCTCTACTGGAGTTGTTTGCCCTTCGTCCAATTCTGGCATTACTTTCTTGATAGAGGGTGGTGGTGGAGGAGGCAGCTTAGGTTTAAGAACCGAAGGCTTCACAATTTTGGCATTCACTTGTCTAGGAGTGAGCAAATTTTCACTTTCAACCTCTTGGCCGTTATTATTTGCATTGATTTTCCTAAAAAAAAAAAATTAAATAAATAAATAATGATCACTTTCAATGTATAATAAATCATCTCACCCTGGGAAAGGTAGTTTGAAGACCCCAGTCTTGCTGATGAGTCTGTTCAGGATGGTTTTCTTGGACGGGCTGAGATTCTCGTCCTCCTCGATGAGCTGAGCGCTGGATCCACCAAGCACCAGACTTGGGGGGTCCATGTGATTCTCATTGCTGACTGGTGGCTGTGGCGCTTTGGCCTTTCTTACTGGAGTGGCACTCTTGGATTTTTTGTGTGTGGGTGTAGGTTGAGGATCATCTGTGCCAAAAATACGCAGATCCTGCTGGCTCCTGGTCATCCAGGAAAAGGGTGCAGAGTGTTCGTCGCGCCACTTAACAACCTGTAAAAAATGGAAATAAATTTGCGGATAATTTAAATTTTATAAAGTCGATAAAAGAAAAGGATTGTACAAAAAAGGCAATAAATCTTGTAAAATTGTGATGACGTAAAAGAAGCTGTTGAAATCTACATTCTAATTAACTTATAGAGAAGGGAATTTGATACTTATATGAAGTAATACTAATAGTCCTCCATTAAGAGAATCTCATCATGAGAGAATTTAATTGAAAAATCTCTCAAGGTCAGGCTTTAATATCCCATTGTTATGATTGTTACTGAGTTACTGACCTATAATCAGCAATTAATTACTGAATATTAATTAATTTGAATTTTGAAAGCCAAATTTGGAATTAAAAATAAAAGATTCAAATGCATAATTACAATTTTTTTTACAAAACAAGTTTATATGAATAAATGAATAACAAAATGTTGGAATAGAAGGGATGACAAAAAGTTTAGAAATTTATGTATGTTACATACATCAACACATAAATTAATTTTCTATCCCTCTTGAAGATGGAAATTTGAGTTCAAATGAAGTATCAATAACCAAATTTAGATATTACAAGTTAGAACAAGAAGTTAGAACACATATGTAAATAATATTTAAAATTTTACTTTGCTATTTGTCCCGTCATCGTAATGGACGTATTTAGTGCCGGTCTGGATCCTGATACACGGGTAGACTTCAACTTCGGTCACTTTGTTGGCCGCCGATCTGCTGTACTTAAGGATGGCCTCCGGCTTAATGATGGCCTCGTCAAGGATCTGCCGCTGTTCGGGGACGCTGAGGCCGTCCCACAGGGCTTCGTAGGCCTCTCTGGTGTGGCAAATTTCCTCGACGATCCTTTTGGCCAGCGGACTAAGTGTGTGGAAATATTCCTCGGCGTAGTTTATAATGGTCGGACTCATCCTGAAAACACCCGATCGCTGAATGAGCCGTTGTTCCAGATTTTCGGCAAATTAACTCACTTTCGTGATGGCCCTTCCTCGCTTTTGTTGATGAGAAACGAGATGAATGTAAATAAAAAAGAAATCGGGACACGCCCAGCGGCAGGGACAGCGACGTGCAAAAGGTTGGCTGCACCTAAAGCGCATGCGCATTCTTCAATCGAGCATGCGGACAAGCATGCGGATTCGCACGCACTCGAATCGCCTAAAACCTTTTGTTATGAAAAATACGAAAAATATACACAGCTGATTTGATAAGATCGAACTATTATAACTATTTACTTCGTTTTAATTGGTTTTTGAAGGTTTTGCTAGGTGATCCTGCATCTTTGGTATCTTCAAATTGAAACTAGGTTTTGATTACTTAACAAGAAAAAAATGCCCACTTATGAGCTAGCGTTTTTGTTGAAAAACATGACCAAGGTTTGTATTGTATTTGGGAAATCCACAGATCACAATTAAGCCGGTGTCGGTGGAGATAAACATAGTTAAATCAAGTTAGTTTTTTTATAAAAAAATTAAAATTTTGCGTTATTTGCAGCCTGAACTAGCCGTGTCTATGAAAAGGGCAGCCCAGGAGATTTTCAACCGTGGTGGTTTCATCAGAAAAATGGAAAACCTTGGAATTAGCAAAGAAACTCCTTATAAAATTTCGTCCCATGGGCAAGTGCATCGGACAGCAAGGTACTAAATTTTGAGCTGCTCAAGGAATATTCAGGAGGGTCTTTATAAAATGCTCCTTTTCCAGTTACTTTGCTGTAAAATTTGACATACCACCATCTACTTTGGACGATTTGAAAGATTCTTACCAAAGAGATGTGGACATTGTCAGGTACAGAATCTATAAAGTTGAGGAACCACCTAAATTCGAATGCACTCTGCACGAAGAAAACTTACCACCAGCCTACAGAAAGGATGTGCAGCAATTAATAGCAGAGAGCGAGAAGAATAAACCAAAACAGTGGGATGCAAAGTCAGGCCTTGACTACTATCCGTTCCAAAGATAGGCGTTCATTAATTACTCCGTGGTATAATTTTATTAGTAAAAACAAATAAAAAATTAGAAATTTCGGTAATAAAATTTCAATGTAAAAATAAAAATCATAAACCTACACGTCATTTTTGCAGTTTACCAAATTTATTGGAAAAAAGTCAAAATGCACAAACAAAATGAGAATAAATGGTTTCAAAAAACAGATTTTCAATCTGATTTCTAAGCACATTAAAGGAACCAGAATTTTTGGTATCAAATAAAAAATCTCGACGCTACAATCGATTCTTGATGCGCTTCTTAATAAGTAATATGTATATTTGCTGCAAGCAAATCAACCAAGCATTCTTTTTATTCACAATCAGAAATTTCCGAATTTCTCATAATACTTTTCCCAGTCTTTTGTTCTGATTCTTCAAAAAAATATTTCTCTCCTCTTTATCAACCTCATTACCAATCAACACAAATCTGTAATCGAAAAAATACAAAGAAATGGGGGAAGTGAAAAACTTGACAGTTCTTCACTTCCATGATCATTTCCTCGAGTGACAATTTCTTCGAACATAATAATGATGGGGCACACAAATTATTGCATCTTGCCAGCTACACTTAATCAATATGTGTCATGTTAAATACATACATCAAAGTTTAATTTAAATGTGATGAGAAAATAATTAAAATTATTTCAATGGTATTCTCGTTAATTCTTGATACAAAAGCAGCATATTATTGAATCAGATCTCTCTAGGCATAATACTTTTTATGGCACGTAAAACAATAGTTATTATCTTAAATACTTGGCCTTCCACAAGCATCAATATTGATATTTGAGGTTCTCAACCCCTGTACATTTTCAACCTATTTATTCCTCTTAACACTTTCGTCCTGGCGGAATTTCATTTAGACTGCGCTCGAAAATTAATTCAGTAGTTGTCACACTTTCTTTAAATTTTAAAAAAAGTTTTCACATTAAAAAAAAATGCTACCTCCAAAATGCTGTGCGGTAAAAGCTGTGAAAATTTTCTCGAGCGGACTACTGGATGGCTGGTGGCCCATTTTGCTGGAAATTCTGTGACCTGAGGATCTCATCGTATCTGTTGACTCGACCTCTCTTTCTTCTCGGCAGAATTCCTTTGCGCGCCATGTAGAATCTAATTGTGGAGATAGGGATGTTGTATCTGGAAATTATTATATTTGAAAAATCAAACATCTTGATTCTTGATAACTCCTAAGTGAATGGTCTTACTTATCTGAAACTGCTTGGAAGGTTAGGCCACGGCTGATCAAATTAGCTGCTTCGCTGAGCTCCTCCTCGGACCGCCTGATCCGCTTGTTGGGGCTATTGGTCAAGTCCTCTTCACTTTGGGCCATGGGGCCAGCCATGCTGTGCTGCACCTGCAGCTGGTGGTGAGGATAAATTGCGAGTCGGTTGCCTGTAACAACATTAGGTGGTGCTCAAACAATATTGGTTTACAAAAAAATTTTATTCTTGTGCATTTTAATCTTTACTGTGAATTTAATTTACTTCATGATAGCAAAGGAATAATTTTTTAAGAGTCAAATGCTCAACATCAATTAATTGAAAATAATTTTAAAATGCTTGTCAAAGATATGATATCATATAATTTAAAATTGAAGTACTGGGAATAGCATTCAGTAATTCAATCAGTAATTGGTTTCTTGAAACCAGAATTGCATTTGAGTAGGATGGAACACAACAAACAAAAGTAAAACACAAAACATGCATACATGCGCCACAACCCAGACTACTTGAAATCAAAGGTTTCAGTTTTAATTGAAACATCTGGTGTTATTTAAAATTTAACTTTATTGAATGATGGGCGTCTGAATTTTGGCGCACATTTCGTCCTCGCGGAACAACACCAGCACAATTCCATGTCAAATTGTCGTTCGTCCTTTTCGAGTGTCACCTCCATCGAGTCACAAAGACAGAAAGAAGAGAGAGATCATTACAGCTAGGCGGCATGCAGTAAGTATCACTTTGTGCATTGGCTCAAGTGGCGCGCGCCGGCTATAGGTCCGAGTCGTTTGGCGTCAGTTCTGGCATCTCGGGCTCCGTGTTGGCGTACACAATGTTGTCTTGGTAGACGATGTTGTCCTGCGCATACACGATGTTGTCCTGATACACAGCCGGTCGAATGGGCTGCAGCGGTCGCTTCTTCAGCTTGGGTGCGTTCGGTTTTTTGATGTTGCTCACCACCTTGTCCGGGTTGCGCGGAGCAGGCCCACCTGGCCCAGCAGTGATCGGTGCTTTGCCGCTGGCCTCTCGCTTGCGCATCACATAAGAGTATATTGTACTTTTGGGAATGTTTGTTAGGCTGGCAACCCGTCGGTATGAGATGCCCTTCTCTACCAGGTCCATTGCCAGTTTCTTCTGCTCCAGTTGCAGTTCTGCATAAAAGTGAACTTTGCTTTAGCCGCTCGGTCGAGTGTGCGACTCAAGAAATGCTGGTCAAAAATTGCCCTTTTGAGTTTGAAATTGGCTGTTTCGTTATCATTACTTGGGAGCCAAAAGTGATAATAAATATGAGGATTTTGTAATTCTGACAAATAAAAGTAAAAACATTCCAGTTTAGCTTTCAGGGTTATTAAGTAACAGAAAACAACATAAAAACACACATGCTAATACTGCAACTAAAATTAACTGTAACTCAACCCATTTTTGTTTTATTTGATCAGAAAATGTATTGGGACATAATTTCAACAAAACGCCCATTTCAGACCCAGAGACATGTTGACCAGCACCTCCCCCTCCGAAAGAATAACTAACCTTTGTTGTCCTCGCTCCACGCTACAGACCGGCTAAATTTTATTTCGCAGGCGTCTGCATCCTCCTCCCAGGTAGACTCCAGGAGCTCAGCCCCATCTGGGGACACCATCATCCGAATTTCAGTCTTCATACCACTCCCCGATTTTTAATATACCGATTGCCCATTTGTGCATTTTGTCTCTCATTTGAAAATTCCCCACTCTGCCATGTTAGTAGTTATAAACTTTCAAGTGATAAAACTACGGTCAAGGCTTGTTTTTTGTGTTAGAGACACACTCAAGGAAGCAGCAAAAACACACAAGGGCCAACTCACCATCCATTGTGTTTGTGTTCATGCAGGGGGTCATCGTGGTCGGAGTCATGGTCATTCCAGATGGGCCAGCTTGGGGTGTGCCTCTAGGTGGAGGATAATGCTGGTCTCCCACAAAACTCTCAAAATCCTGGAATCAAAGAATAAAATAAAGATTATTCCACTCAATCGATAGAGCATAGATAAGAATTATGTTGAATGTAATGTTAAATTAATTAATTTAAGTACCTGAGATGTAGCATAGTCATCGTGGCTACCGTCATCCAGATCAGATACAGATTGCTCTTCCATTAATGAGATATCCTCCTCCAACTTGACCATTTGCTGAACAAAAATAAATTAATATTTGCTAATTTTTTCCGAATTATTTAAATTACTTCGTGACATGCATCTGGTTGGGATGCATTGGGACTAGATTTCTCCTCTGTGGTCATGTTGACTGAGACAATAGGTATAGTGTCAAGGTTACTGTCATCATCCTTTTTGCTCAGCTCCGTAGCCTTTGTTACAGCAGCAGCAACCTTCTGCTGTTCATTTCCGTAAAGACCTCTTATCTGCAAAATAAATATCATTTTATAATACAATTAAACAATTTACAACTTTTTTAATTGGAAGTGGGTCTGTGAAGGGCTATAATCTTAACCGCAACATCCTGCTAAATTTTTAATGGTGTTCAATTTTAACTTAAAAATTCCATGATCTGCCATGTCAGCAGTTGGTATTTTACCTGCAGCGACTCCGCAGCCCTGAGCAGGCTGTTGAGCTCCTCCTGGGTCACATTGACCTCTCCACGGTACATGAAGTCCACCAGGGCGCGCACCTCCCAGAAACGCATGTCCTTCATGAAAATTATCGGGTGCTGACAAGGGTTATCGCTGAGCAACGTCTCAAAGTATGTGCTGCATGCGGACAACACCACCTTGTGGCACTTGACCATCTGTCCTTCACACGCAATCGTAACGTCCACAAAGTTCTCGTTGGCCAACAACTTTGGAAATGCGTTCTGCAAGTTAGACTGGTAGCTGTTCCAGCGCACGCAAAACTGCTGGGACGAGGATCCCATCTAAAAAGTACACGCCAATGAATAAACGCCAGTGTCCGATCCGGGCGGGCACGTCCGGGAAATCGGACGAAACTGTCCGAATTCAGGTGTCCGAAGGTGAAATTTATCTCTTCTTACCTTGACTTGGGGTCTTTCACACTAATTCAGTTTTAAATATGCACCAGCGGTCTCAAAGCAATGCGAATTTGCAGAAAACAACCATCCGGAGGGAAGATGTTTGGCCACCAGCAAGTATCAATATGGCCGCCGTGACGAACGACGCTGAGCCGGAGACACCCGAGCGCACGCCTGCTCGTCACTTCGGCTATCTCCGCGGGCCCGTGTTTATCGATCGGCCAAGGCGAAATTTTGCGAAAAAGGAGCCTTGGAGCTTTCATCAGCTGGAGCTGCTGGAGCACTGGGCATTTTTTTGCAAAACGAGGTTTGGAGCCACCTGAGCGTTACGCAGCATAATTTGACACTTCGTTCGCTCTTCTGAATCAAAGGTGTTGAAACAAATTCGCGTTTACAAGCAGCGTAAGTAGCTCAAACACAAAATCACGTGCCAAAAGTTCCACTATTGGTTATTGAGAAATGCAATTTATTTATTATGTTGTTTTACTTATTGCAGGTCAGAAGAAAACACAAGTCACAGAAATGGCTAGTGGTGGTAAAGGTGCTGTTGTTCCTCCCGAAGAGTGTGAAGAAGACCTTGACGAGTTACTATGCGGTAAGATTTTTTTATTAAAAAAATGATATAGAATTAATACTTTATTATTTAATTCATTGAAAATAAGTTAGTTAAATAAATTCTCTTTTTCTTCTTACTTAGTATGTAAATATATAAGAAGCTTCATTTTTAAGTATAATAACGTAATACATAAATAAAATGCTTTTATTGATCCCTGTTTTGCACAGATGCTCTAGATGACCTGAAAAAGCCAGCTGAAGAGCAAGCCCCGGCAAAAAAAGAAAAAATTAAAGCACCCACGGGATTGCCGTCTGAACTTGAACATGCTTGGAATGAAGAGTTTGCAGCTCAGTTCCAGAAATACCTCCAATGTAAGACAAAAAGCTTAAACTCGAGGAAACTGATGATTGAAATTTAATTTTAGGCGAGGGAGGTGAAAATGCAGAGGCAGTTGCTGCGAGTCTACAGGAAATGACAGAGGCTGCTGCAAATGCCCTTCGTCACACTGGAGCAGACACTCCAATGACCCCTTCTTCAGAAGATCCTGTTTCTGCAGCTATAGCACAAACGTTGAAAAATCTTGCAGATAATGCAAATTCATTACAGGCAAATTTTTTACTATTTTTTCGAAACACAATTTAAATAATTTTAAATTATTTTTAGAGTCCTTTGACCGAAAATGAAATCATGAACATGTTTGGAAGCTTTGGTCTTTCGGACGGACCTAATGGCGACTCGGACATATTCCCTTTCATGCAAAATATGATGCAGTCATTGCTCTCTAAAGATGTATTGCTCCCAGCGCTGCAGGGAATCTTAGAAAAAGTATTTATTTTATTTTTTTTTTTTATGAGTAAACTATTGTTTTTACCTTGAATATTAAAATTTGTAGTACCCTGGATGGCTTGATGAGAACAGAGCAACTCTTCCTGAAGAAAAAATTGCTAATATTGTTAGGCAACAGGAACTGATGAAGAAAGTCTGTGAAGAATTGGAGAAGGAGTCTGCGTCAGACACAGACGATGTAAAGTCAAAAAGATTTGACAAAGTTCTTGATCTCATGCAGCAAGTAATTTAATTATTAAACTATCTGTTAAAAGTCGAATAATATGATCACAATTTTAGATGCAAGAGTGTGGTCTGCCCCCTGCAGAGCTGACTGGTGAACTTCCTGGAGACCTAGGCGCTACAATGAGCAACCCTGATCAGCCCCAATGCTCCATAATGTAAATTCTAAAAAAATTTATAGAGATTTGGAGTCGAAGCTAGCAACTGTTACTTTTAGATCAGGTTTTTTAGGATGGTTCTGATTCTCCCAGTTTTGAGTAGTCAGTTGTTAATCTTTAAACTCAATTGTATTCATTCATAAAGAGAAAGTCAAATTAAGACTAAATCATCATGACCCTGGAAGTGCCAAATATTTCCTAGGAGTCGAAAGTCAATGATGAGTAGGCACAGAATCTAAATGTGTATACCACTGATCGATGTGCACTGGCTTGGACCAACTCGCATTGTGCAGGTATGAAGACATCTTAATTTTGTGGCTATGCTCTTCTCGTTATATTATTTATAGCTTGGTATTAATAATTTCATAGCCAAAGGTAAAAAATTAAAACTAAATTGATATGTGGATCATTGAATACCAGTTCAAATTTCTTGCACTACTTATTCCACTTTAGAATAATTTTGTAACATAGATGTTGTATTTTCTTGTTCAGGTGTCAGATTTTACTATACTTGCTGTTGGAATTTTAACGTTCTGGCTTTTTTTCATTGCAAAATTGAATATATGGGCGAACGTCTCTTATTAACCATTCTTGAAGAGCAATATAAATATGAAAATGATTCTACGCAAGACGTAACTACTAAAAGTAACACGGAGACTGTTATAATGTAACGTAAGGTTGAGCGCATCACTCTAAAAGACCACTACGGCGGAATATTTTTGCACAATCAAGTTTGGCATTTTGTGAATCAATCACAAACAGAACTCGACAAATAAAAACGGCATAAGGATATGGGGCCACGCTCGACTTCTTTCGCGTGCAGGCCTGTTGTGGCGAGAACAAAAGCAAAATTATGTGATCACCTGATAGTGATACATTGTCATACCAAATTGGAAGATGCAACTAATTGAAATGTGATAAAAAAATATTTACAAGTTGGAATTATTATGCAAATTAATCCCTGCCCAGTGTGTCCGTTTGAGCCAAGAACAAAAATACCACTCTCCTTTCATCATTTTTGTGGTGTCAAGCTATATATACCAAAACTTCACTAAGCGCATTCCTTTTTTTTCTTTCAAATTTCTAAAAATTCCATTCGATCATATTCGACCTTGCTGAACCAAAAGCTTTTTTATTGTGTTGCGCGTTGCATTGAAGAGCACAAATAATAAATTTGTGAAATATTTCAAATTTTGTTAATACTGCATAATTCTATCTATGCTCAATTAAAAATTCAGTATGGCCTAAAAAAAGTTAATAATTTCCGTTCAATTGTATCCTTTTCAAAATCTGTCAAAATAGTTGTGTATGAGTGTAAATTTACCAAAAATTATATCTGCTCCAAAATTCTCTACGAGGTACTGTTGGGCTCTCAATTAAGATTATTGCAGTAAATTACTTATTTGGATGAATAAAAAATGTTGACGAAAAGCTAAAAAATGTTTTTTTTTTTTGTCAGAATCAAAGAAAAGTCTGGAGAATTATTCTTTACAAGGTAAAATTTTTATTTTTCAAATCCACACATTAATTTTTAAATTTTTCCTTTATTTGTCATAATTCATCTTCTTTACTAACGGCCTGAAAACCTCAAGGAATTTACTTTGTCCAAAAATTGAATTGGCTAAGGATTCAATTTTTCAATTTCCGCTGTGATGGAATTATGTTAGCAGGAATAAATTTTTGGGTTTATTTTGGATAGTTATCTTTGTTTAATATTCATCTTATATGAAATGAACATAGCTATATAACAATAATATAATGGTTGATCGAGCAGCCACCCAATTAACACAAAAACTTCAACACAACAGTAACCTAACTTCAGTCAGTACACAATCATCAATCAAAAACAGACTGGCCTTTGTAACACTTTTCGTATATTTCGCTTGATGACAAATGTTTATGTATTGTTTTATAACAATTAACTGCACACAAGACAGGACAATGGTGTACTAAAATATATTTTATCCATGTTCAATGGGAAAAAACTTTAATTTTAACAATGAAAAAAATTTGTCGGCTCACACGTTTTTCATCTTAACATTTTTATTTTGTTTTGAAAACTTCATGAGAAGCTTTTGACATTTTGCCTTCTTGTTTGGTTATAATGCAATACTTATTTTTTTATTTGAATTTATGTGATGCTTTTAACTTTTCTTGTATATGATAATAAAGTAGTAGCGGTATTACAGCATGTCACGATCCTACTATAAATGCCTCAATATGTAGGCCTAATTGAATAATTTTGTCTTTAAAATTTTACTATTCTACACATTTATTGAGGAGAGAAGCACATCCAAGATTTTAAGTACTTTATATGAGGTGTGAAGATGAAATGTATAATTTTACTTTATTACGCAAGTGTTAAACTAGGGCAACGTAAATGCTTAGCATTGGAAGGTGCATTTTTCTGCGTCTTTGCAGGTTTAAGCGCAAGCTTGAAAAATTAGCGAGAAAGGCTCCCTGCGATTTTAAAATTTCTCACTACAAAAATACACTTAAATTTTACGATTTAAAAAGAAACATCAATCAATTGTTTGGTGATAGTAAGTCCTGTCTGGTTTGTTTAAAAATAAATTAATATTTAAAATCACTATTTTTAATTACAGTATAGAAATTTTGTGTACCTAAGAAAGCCTTTCATCGTCTTGGATGTGATGTATGAATCAATCACAATTAAAGCTTATGCATTCTTGAATTTATTATTACCTCAACTCTTTTCGAAATCTTTAATGTTCATGAAGACAAAAAAGTTCTCCTTATCAGAGTGACTAGTTCCTTATTTCCTAAGTGGGCTAAGTAATACTCCTCATGCATTCAACTAATGCAAATTGGCAATTTTTTGCCTTGGTTTTCAGAATTTTATGTTTCATTTTATATCTTTGTATAATATAAGAGAAAAATTGACAGTTTTAACTTCTAATGTTTGAATCTAATCAATAATTTTTTAATATTATTGCATTCGTTTTCAACTTTGCTATAGCACAGAGGTGATTGCTCGAAAGCCAACCCCGACTAATTTCTAGCAACAATTTTCTTTTGGTAACGAGACAAGCCAATCGAGAGACTACCAAAATTCCAAGACCTATCAGGATCAACATCGTAAGTCTCAACTTAAAAAGTATGCGAGAACTCATACAAAAGGTAGGAATGATGGTACAAATACTGACTCACTAGATCATCGATTCTAGTAGTCCATTCATTGAACAGGTGGGCTTAAATCCAAAAAGGCTAAATTACTAATTTTACTATAGGGGCAACAAATTAACCAGCAAGAAATACCAACGTATAGGTTGATCACTATCTAGTAACACCTAATCAAGGCAAAAGTTTCATGTTTCTTTTTTACTTGTTTAGAACCGATGTAGATTGGCTCTGCCCCAGGTGATGGTGGATCATAATTCTTGACAAGTATAGCAGATTTTTTTCTGGTGTTTAGTTGTTGCTCAACTCTCGCAGACTAGTAAGAAATCCATTTGGTGTCATAATATTGGACGAACCTGAGATTTTTCACATTAGACTCTATTCTGACAAAACAAAACAAATATTACCAATTATGACTTCCCAATTCTTCATCGCTTGAGTAACCTCATAAGCACAGCGCATTTCCGAGAAACTGATTCCGCCAACAACAAACACAATCAACCGGGGGACATTTTTCACTGTCTGCTGACTCTTGTCCTTGTGCCAATGCCCATAGCGCGCACTAGAGAAAACACTCTTAGTTCTTTCAACTTTTTATAATATCAAGAACAAACCTGGATGGCGCGTGGTAGCCAGTGTTTCCACCAGCTCTTCCTGCAAGGTAGGGGAAGTGCTTGGCATCAAGTTTGTCCTCAATGCAGTCCTCCATGAGATCTTTGATGATAGGGGTCCAGCGGGACATTTGATAGGTTTGTTCTGTGATGCGCTCTTTCCTGGTTGGCTGCCAGATTTTCTTGCGGTTTCCCTAAATCATGGGAATATGTAACCTTTGTTATTGGCTCAAAAATGAAAGTATCTTACATCTACAACAATATTCCACCCAATATTGGCCATGTTCACAATCGTCTGCTTCTCTTCCTGAACTTGAGCGTGCTGGATGAGCTTAGTCAGATTTTCATCAGAAATTCCGTTCTTGCTGAGAATGTAGAGGAGGATTATGCGGATTTTATCATTGTTGGTAACATTCTTGTCCAGCAGAATGGGCACAATATTCTTCATGTGATCGCGAATGCGCTCACCCTCAGCATCAGTGCCCATTGCGAGGTCCTGCTCGACCTTGCACAACTTGTCAATGTTGTCCTTGTAGTTCTTCATGCAGTCCTCGGCAAGGTGGAGGTGCGTTGAGTACTTGGACAGCTCCTTCTGATACTGTGGCATCTTTTTGATCATCTGAGACAAGTCTTTCATGCTCTGCTTGTCACCAGACGGCAAGCGCTTCGAATCGATGAACACTTTCATATTCTTGGTAACGCTTTGGCTCACAACTGCAATATGCTGGTGCCGCAACTCAACCCACAGTTCGTCGTTTTCGTCCAGCAGAACTTCCTTCTCAGGAGCATTGGCGGATGCTTCATACCTGAGGTTATTTAAATTTTAATCATATTGCAAAACTATGTTAGAGGAGTATCTTCATACTTGTAAACATCATTTTCAATGGGCAATAAATCATAGGCCATTGCTTGGAATGTCAACTCGTGAAGAAGAGGAGACACACAGTCAAACCCTCTATCTAAAATGAGAAGCTGTGAGCGAGCCTTTTCAGGGCCCTCTCCCATAGTCGGCTCGTCCGCTTTGTAGGCGTCCAGTTTTTGCTGAACAATAGTTGCCAGCTCCGCATTCTTTTCAAAATCTCTGCAATAAAATTAAATTTTTAATTAATTTTTTCAACCATTTTCAAAATTACCCTCGATAACGGACAGCAGGATATTCTCCAAGGGTGGCGCATAGCGTGGCAATTTGCTCAGCCATTCGTTCCATATTTGCCGCCCGCATGCCTGCTTTGTTCGGGTTGTACAAATACTGGAAAGTGTCTGCAGAGTCCAACGAAAAGACCTGTGATGAATTTTGTAAAGATTAGCTTCGAGGGAAAAGTGGAGCAATTACCTGGCCCTCGTATGGCAAAAATGCTACGTTAATTTCTTTCAGGGTCTTGATTTTGCGTGCGGCGCAAGACTTGCACAGTTCATTAAAGAGCTCCTCTCCACACACTGAAAGAGCATGCAATTAGTGAAACAAAAAAAGACGCACATACAAAAATCCAAACTAAATGTTAATCAGCAAAATCTTTTTCAATTCTAAGTAAAAATTCGTCCAATGTCAGAATAGGGTTATTATAAAAATTTGCAAGCAACAGGCAAAAATGTTAAAATACATTTTTCACTCTGTCTTTGCTAACCTGGCGCTCGATTGGAAGAATGGCGCAATTTAATTCTTTTAATGTCAATATTTTCTTTGCTACTTTGCTTTTGCAAAGCATATTGAAAATATCATTTGGAATTGCTGAAAGTGAAGACTAAAAATTGAAAATAAAACTTTTAAAATTTTCTTAAGCTCACCTTCAGTGAAATACACATGCGCTCCACGGTACATGGTGCGGTTGGGACTGGCAAAGTCATTCATCAGCGATTCCACTGACTTCTTTGTCGGAGTAATTAAATAAACAGCTTCCATTGTTGGCAATGGCTCTCTCCTTTTGTTGATGTCCTCAACAACTGAAAAGTTTTGATTTTATTAGAATAAAAAATATAACCTATATCAAAATATTTAAAAAATAATTTTAAGGACAAACACACCAGGAGTGTTCTGGTGTTAAAAAAAAGGAGGAGCATTTGACATAAACGCATAGCTTGATAGCACGTTACGTTAAAGGGCGAAGATTGTATTGCTGGGGATATTTTATTAAAATGATTTCGTAATTTGAACTGACTGGTGATTCCTTCGGCTGAGATGTCATGCATCTTGACGCAGGCAGACACCATTCGCATGGCGAGCTGGTCGACGACGAGCACACGCCAGTCCACATCTTTGGCATTTTTCTTCTGCGACTTCTGCTTCAATACTTCGTTAATAATTTCTGCAACAAAAGAGCCGTCGGTTTACTCGGTTTACTTAAGTGTCAAAAGACAAGGGCGCTCTCGCTTTGCCCATGCCCTATCCCATGTACATAATGCAGTGGCTGTGACGTCACACCCCATTGAGAATGTCTCGATCCAGTGGCCGAAAAACGCAATTGGGTGGCACAAAGTGGCCAAAAAACAGTTGATAAAGAGATAAAATAGTTCTTCGTGCAACAGAAATCAAGTCAAGACGGTTGCAACAATAGAAACAGCGGATTTTGACTCGCAAAAGAGATTATGACAGATGGCCTTAAGATCAGGCGTTAACGCCCCCTTCGCAAATGTTAGTTTTATGCTGATTCTCGCGAGAATCATCACGCAATTTTGTGTTCAGAGTGAAGAAAGACTTTTTAAAATTGATTTGGCAGTGTTTAAAATATGCTTGAATGCGTTTTTAAGGGTGTTTTTTCTACTTACTTTGCCCAACCATCGCTTTGAGCGCCATTTTGGTGACTTTTGGTGTTGCTACTGATTTGTCCGCTAGATGGCTATGTTGGCGCTGATCAATGTTTTGCAGCGCGAAACTGGGCTCCGACTGCTCCGAGACGGATGAGCTTCCACCCCGCAGGCGTAGGAATAGCTTGTTAATTTTTTTGGTCTAGGAAGATATAAATTTGAGAAGATAATTAACAATTAACAGTATGGAAAATTTATTTAATATTAATATTGCAATATTGTGTATTCATGCAAAATAAACATTTTGAAATATTTAAATTAATCAAAATTAATTTAATAAAATGGATTGCACAACGAAATACTATGTTATCAAAAATATGTTTACAATGAGAAATATCAAAATTGTTTTGAAAAATTGAAATAAACCTTTTCTTTTCTACCTACCAGCGTCATTGACTGTTCGCAATATTTCTGTGGGTAATATGGTAATTATTATAATGTGGGTAATAATTATTATATGATCTAAAAAAACTCCAAAATCGTTTTGAAACAGTTTCCCAAAGGCTGTACTAGCGTCGTAATCTTGAAAGACGACGATCGCCACACAGAGATCTTTACTCTGCCGTGATTCTCAACATACTAATGTACAGTCCAATTCAACTGAACTTTGATTGGCAAACAACGCCTCGCTTTTGTACACTTCAAATCAAAGAAGTTAGCCCAGCGTTGTGTAATCAGAATGTTATAATGCCAAAGCTTTTATATTTTTTTCCTTTCAGTGATCCGGCCCATGGAACCCATTCCTACGGAAAATATTTGAGTTGCCAAAATTAACAAATTTTAACTAAAATTTGAACTAAATGTCACGAATAAAAATTTTAAAATTAAATTTAATATTGTACTTTTTTGCTTCAAAACATATTTATTTAAACCCTTTGAGATTTGGGCTGTTACAGGCTGTTTTAAAAAAATGATATGCGCATGTTTAATGACGCTTCAAAGGAGTTGTGATATAGGGAGCACAAGTGCAAGAAATGTGGATATGTGGCGCGGCGCGAGCTGACAAATTTAACTGGGCTCCATCCTCGCATCTCATCACGCAGACGTTGGGAAATCAAAACAAGTCATTTGTCGTAGCGTTTTGTGTGGTACAAAATGTCACCCGAGACACGGCAGCAATGAGCAGGATAATGTTACTTAATCACCCATCTGTCAAACACTACTAAAACGCCAAAGCGCGCTTTGTGTGGTCGACACTTTTTTATAATTTTTTGTAAATAAAATAATTATGTAGCAGATCAGTAATTTGAACATATTATTTTATTTGAAATTTTTTTATGAAATGGAATGGCGAAAAAATTGACAAGTTTTTATTAATGAATAGCTTGTTCTTTTGTATTATAAATAATGTAATTCATAAAACTATTGCTCTTTAAAGTGACCCAGTTTTATTATTTAATTAGAATTGGTGAAATTTTTAATAAAATTAATTAAAAAGTTAGCTTTGAGTGTGTGGTTCCTCTGATCTAATTTTAATTAACGAAAAGCTTGGGACGCTCAGTAAGCATACGTAAGACGCGTGCAGACCTGCCTTCAGTCAGAGAAAGGGGTCGTGCCGCGCGGGGTTCCTTGATGGATACCCTTTTTAATTGGCTCTAACTAGGTCTCACTTTTCTCCGGCCAGCCCAAACGCTCACTGCGCGCAAAATAGCTATTTCCGTCATGCAATTTAAACTTTTCCTAGTAAAATTCCAGAGTTTTTAACGCTTTTAAATTTTAATTTATTAATTTATATTATATCCATAAATTTTTTAATTTTTTTAATGCTATGGTTAAGGTTAAAGACGAAAATTTCATTACTCTCTAGATGCTTTCTTCAAGCACTGCTATTTATTTATTTACTTCAATATGCAGTGATTTTGCAACTGTGTACCTCATCAACCTCGAGTTACTCAAAAAGACTCCCCAACACTCTAAAGCCACAGATTTAGTTTGTGTAGTTCTCAAGGCTCATAAAAAATTAATGCCGTCTCGTCTATTTTGGTTTACAAGTTAAATGTCTCTTTATAGACATTGATTGGACTTGACATTGTGCTGGCTTTTATATCTGCTGGCGCGCACACATTTTGGCTAAATATACTGCGGTACGGGGCGCGCGCTCGCAGAGATGAAACAAGGTTTTATTTTCAAAATCATCTACAGAGCTGGGGAACGAATTTAGAAAAACATGCTTCATCATCATCAACACCTCGCGACTTCGTTGGAAAAAAATATCCTTTCTGCGTGGTGATGCACAAAGTGTGAGGAGGAGCGCGAGTACGCTTTTTTCACTCGTAATATTTATTAGCCGAAGCAAATTTTATTGCCTGCTCGCGATAATGAGCCAGCCTGAAACGCGCCTAATTAACTCAATTATCTCCTACAAAGAGCTGTGTGGCGATTGTCACTTAATTATCTCGATTCTGTTTCACTTATACAAAAATAGCTGAAAGGACTGATGGCGGTTGACTAAAATTTGTTTAAAAAAAAAAACATTTAATATAAACAGTAATTTTAATTTTAAATGTAGTTTCAAATCATGTTTATTGAAGTATCGCTGGGCATACTCTGCCCAAATACATCATCCATAAATTCAATATATAAATATAAATACCCAAAATTAAAATAATTATAAAATACACATCTGGCTCTTTAAAAAGCGTGGTGAGCACTATTTTTCATAATGTTTTTTAATTGCCCAATTTTATACATTTTTGCACTCACTGAACACGTTGTAGGCAGTTGAACATTGGATATACTGCAGAAATAATTTAATTTTTCGTCGGAAGTATTTTTGTTGTTGAGAAAATCAATTTTGTTTAATCTGGCACTTTAAAAAGCATTTGAAATAAATTAATATATAAGATCAGGTACAAAATCGAATGAGAAGCTATTTTAATTTCCTAATAAAGTTACTTTTAATTAAATTAATTTATTTTACATTGCAAAAATTTAGTTCGGTGTCTACATTTCTCATTGTCAGTCAATTATAAAACATTTTACACTGATTTTGCTTTGCAGAGAATAAGAAATAGTTATAGATTATAATTTATCAATGCTAAAAAAACTATCTCTCTCGACCAACTTATTCTGAAATGGAATTTTCTGGTAACTTAGCTACTAGATAATCTTACGCAAATGAATTGAAGAAAATTTATTAAATCTTGGAATACGCAAAGTAAGGAGAATTGTGTATTTCTGGGTGGCGAAATATGCTTGCTATTCGTCCAATGATGAATAAGAGCGGATGTGTTGATTTGGTGGCTAATGAGGCCCTGTGCCGTGATAAATGCCTGGCACCGAGCGAGGCGCCGCAGATCTACACGCGGGGCGAAAAACTGTAAAGTTAAAAGCTAGGCCACCAGCATCGCGCGCACTCACAAACCTTTTATCCTCATTACCCTTGCCATTGTTTTCCGCTGAGAGCAATCGTAAACCTCGCGAGACACAATGGAGTTATTAAAAGCTGAAAATCATTTACGAGAGGCGCGAGACACTTTTAAATTCAAAGCCAAGTAGTGTGTGCTAGAGAGAGTCTCGTTGCTTTTTTTGTCTCATTTCTGAGGAACCGCACTTGATCCGAGAAGAGAGGCCTCGGCGCAAAAAAACAATCGAGGAAAGTAAAAGATGATGATGTTATCAAATGCATGATTTTTCTTAGCAGCGTGCGGGCCTAATTAATTTGATTAGCGAGATAATTGGAAGGGAGCTTAACTTAATTAACGCCTGCTGGCCCCGCGCGCCGAGACGCGGAGAATAATTTATATTTTGTCTTTGCAGTCAATGGCGCGCGATGACAGCTCGTCTGTCTCTTGAGATGAATTGCCGGCAGGTCGGATGTTGTACCGCTCTGCTAATTACAGCCGGCTCGAATAACTACCCCAGCGGTGTAGGAAACCACCCCCTGAGTATAAACGGCACTTCCGCCAAATTTCATTGCAGGGAACAGACCACACTTGGGACAACACAAAGGGTGGCCATGCTGTACATTATTAACAACAGATTAAAGAAATGAGCATCTTCACCAATTAAAAATAAAATTTAATAATCAATTAATGATTCAAGACGAGCAAAATGTATATTTTATTTTTATCTCTTTAATTAATATATTGTTAAAACATTATAGAAAACGAAATCGAAAGACTTGTTGTGAATGAAGTGAATGAACTGCCTATTTTAATTTTTTTATGCATTTAAAATTTGACCAAACAACTTCCTATAACATTCAGCAGCTGCGTGTCTCTGAAGGAAGTTCATTTTTAAATTAAGTAATCAAAACGGAATGATTCAATGCAATGCTGGGAGGGCTGTTAATCAGAGCGCTTTTCAAACCAACCGCTAGTAAACTTTTTGTAAGGCGAGAAATATGGTTTTGATGGCAGCATAAATAAAGTTTTTCTTTCGGGAGCAGTTCACAGAGAATAAACCAACCACATGAATCGGGTCCCGCGCGCGGCGCTGCTTCTAAAACGCGGAGAAAAACGCATGAAGAGAACGCTCGCAAACATAAACCGCGCACCTGTCACTAGTACATCTTATGCGCGTATGATCAAACACGTTTGAGTTAGTGCTGGTGCGTGTCATAAAGCAGGATGAAGTTTGGTGCCACCCTTTTGCATCCCAGGAGTCTCATTCAGACTGATTCTTGAAGTTTGTTTAATTTGAATGCACACACTAGCGGCACTGCTTATTTGTGTACTTTTAATATGTGCTGTAAATTTCAAAATATTTAGAAACATATTTACGTATTGTTAAAAGCGTTAAAAGTAAAAATGAAATTCATTTATTTAAGTGATGTAAAAATTATTGTAACTTATTTTGCTGCAAAATATAGTTATATATTTAAAAAAAAAGCACAAAGCGCCACGCAGAAGCACTCATTAATTTGTGTTATTTAATTTGTTTTGCCAAATTTTTCCACTTATTACTTGGAGGGACGATGACTCAGTCAGAGAGCAATTAGTTTATTAAGAAAAATCTGCCGAGTTTATCTAATTTGCTCTGCAGACCGTAGGGAAATGAAAAGCAGCATCGCGCGGATGAAAAGTAGAGTGTCTGCTTCTGTTAAAACTTGGTTTGTGAGCGTGCAATTTATAAATGTGCTTTTAATTGGATAAATTATCAAATCCATACGTTAAAATTTTGAACCAGAATGGAAATTGGAAGAGATGGCTGTTTATTTTTTTGCATATTGTTTCTTTCATTTTTATAATGTTTTAATTATGTGCACACACTATTTTTCCCCAAACCATTGATTTTTTTTTTAATTGAATAATTGCAGATTTTAGTCAAAAACAAGTAAAATTGATTTTATTTCATTTTGAGTAGGAGAGTGGATAATAAATGAAAAATTAAATTAATTTATCAAGGCGCGAGCACCAAATGAGATTAGTCCCTTTTGCCTTCTAATAAAATAGTAACTCAATTTTCAGCAATTTTCAAATTGAATTAGTTATCCAATTGAGGACCAAAGAGTGCCGAGGGGACGCTGAGCGATGAGATGTTTGTGTGCGTGTTCATTCAAAGGAGGAGCAAAGAGGCGGCCGAGGGCTGGACCAAATCTCGAATCCACCTCGTCAGTTTGAGCTGCTGTTTTGCGTCGGGGTGAGCGGGCCAGCATTCTTATTTCTCGATCGCATCTCCTTTGAAACATGTGAGTACAATTCTCGGCACCAGTGGTTTAATTGAACTTAATCAGCTCCTCACTAATCTCATTAAATGAAATGCCCTCTTTCATCAACTCAGTATTATTAAATTAATATAAACATACATTCGTTATTTCCATTTGGCTTGTCAAATTAATCAATCTTTTAATATCAATTTGTGTTTATCTGTGTCAGATCATAAATTTAAATAGTTTTTTGCAAATGAAATTAATCACTTCATAATTCCCCCAATAATCTTCAACCGGTTTCTGTGTTAACTTTTCGTTGCCATTTTTATTGGGCAATAATGTATAGGCTGGGTCCGTGGAGTTCCACCCTGAGCGCGGCAACCACGCCGTTAGAGCCTTACACGCAATGCTCGAGAGTGCCTGTTTCATCGGACAACACTTGCAATTTCTCTGTAAGCCGCCTTTTGCAACTCGACCGCTCTGCCGCTCCACCTGTGGCTCCCCAGGCGCCCGGTCCTCACCAAAGCAGACCCCATCCACCTGAATCTGACCGCAGCGAGGACGGTGAGTTTCTAAAAAAGTGCAAGCAAACTTTATACAATTATTATGATTCAAGTAGAAATTATTATATTAACTATTGATATTTACCGCCAAATAATTTTTTTTTTTTTTTTTATAAAAAAAAGGAGATTTCCTTTGGTGCAAAATCAAATGAAGCTTTATTATACTTTAGCCGCTACAAAGGTTAAGCTTTTAAGAAAAATTTCAGGGTTTTCTAGATCTGATTGAAAAGCATTAATGAGCTGTTTGATTGGAGCATTTACTTGCTCGTCGTCACATATGTGGAACAAAGCGACAGGCTGCTGAACACTTGAAGTTTGGGGCCAGGCGCCTTGTCACTCAAAGTCTCTCGATGTGCTTCATCGAAGCAAATCGCCACTAACATCTCTCCGCGGCGCGAACAACTCGACTATGCCGCGGCTCTCGCCAGTTCTAATGATGAGAACATCGCGCCTGCATTTTGCTATATTTATACTTATTCTGAAATTCGATACAATTTCAAAAACACCCCCGGCAGCTCCTTGGCTATATCAAAAATCCGTGTACTTTTCACCACACTGCAGACATTTCTGTTCCATGTAACTGACGAGAGGATGTTATAGAATTTCCAAGAATGACATCTTGACAGTTTTGACTTGACACTCTGGAAGCCCATCAACATTTTCTGCTTTTTTATAATGAAACATTGGTTAAATTTTATCATTCGCAAATTAATGCAAGCGGATCATTCAACGCACGATAATTGCGCAAAAAACTTTCAATGAGCGCGCAAGTGGTCTGGAACGCATCACACATGCCGATTTACTAGGCGCGGAATAAAGAGATCAGATTGTTTAGCGTGCAAAATAAATTCTTGGGAGAGGCAGGGCGGAAGAGGTCAAAGACGTACTGATTGCGACTTTCATTAATTCAAAGAGTCTGTATATAGTAAACTGCGGTCCGGCAAATGAAGAAAAAATAAAAGATAATATGAAGGAGAAAATGAAATCATTAAATTCTTTTCATACAAAATAATAAATTATTCAAATGATTATGAGCGATAAATAATTTAAAATTTTCATTGTTTAAGAAAAAAATTGTACTATTCTTATTACTAAACTTACAACTCAGGTCAGTAGCAAGCTAATCTCCTAGGCACTGCAAATTTTCCAAATACATGTATGGTTGAGGCGAACAAATTTTTTATTTGATGAAAATTATGAAAATCGAGAATAATAGAAGAAATATATTTTATTTAAAATTTGATTCCAAAAATACAATTTATTTACGACAAAATTAATTTTTCTGCCTCGGATTTTCACAATTATTTTTGAATAACAATATAAACAATAAATGCTATAGAGACGTTGAAAGTTAAAACATTCTGAATGTGTTAAAGGAAAGGTAAAATATACATTAAGGCGTCTAAAAATAAATTTTTACTTGGTGACGCTTTTTCACGCTCAATTTGCTCAGTAAAAAGTAAAAAATTACCTCTATTAAAAATAATTCAGATTAAATATATTTTATTCCACTAGGGTATTTGACAATGTAAAATTTTATGCATTTTTCCCTCAGACGAGGAATCCTTCTGCAGGGATGACCTAAGCGCTACTGGCTCACCGTCAGGGTCTCGCCACCGACGACAGGGAGGGATGCCGCCTTCAGGGTGTTCTCAGGGCAAGCAAAGGAGAAACAGAACCACTTTCTCCACCACTCAACTCGCTGCTTTGGAAAGGGTCTTTGAAAGGACACATTACCCTGACGCTTTTGTTAGAGAAGAATTGGCTCGGAGGGTCAACCTGAGTGAGGCGCGTGTGCAGGTCTGGTTCCAGAACAGAAGGGCCAAGTTCAGGAGGAACGAACGCAGTCTGCTGTCACAAAGGGGTTGCTGCCCTTCTCCGCAGCAGCCCAGTGGCATCAGTTTGGCTTCAAGAGATTCGACTCTGCTCCACCTTGCGCAAAATGATCAAGGTGGGTTAATTTTGAAATTTTTCTCCGAAGAAGAACTTTCGATGCGTCAATTAATTCAATATATCAGAATAATTCTTGGCTTTTTGAGAATGAAAGATTTAGAAAGCTTGAATTTTAGTTCTGCCTTCTTTTAATTTCAGTGCCAGTCGTGGGTTCGCCAGCTGGTTTGGATTACACACCGTTTGTGTCCTCGCAGTGCTGGAAAACCGCCACAACTTCTGCCTCGCAATTTCATACTTCGCCGCCATCGTGTGCACTTATGACGGGTTAGTATTCTTGTTTGAATTATCTGCAATAGTAATTAAGATTAACTAGACAAGGTTGAAATAAATAAGGTATTTTTAATTTTAAAAACAATTTATTTTCATTTTTAGTATTTAAATTTTTTTCATGATTGAGAAGAATATAATATATAATAATGTAATGAAATGTAATCGAAAATAATAATTTATAAATGAAAAAAAAAATATTGATTCATAGAGTTGTTGTGATTTATTTGGGGTCAAGACATTTTTTTTTTTAAATTTTATATTACTATTTATTTTGCATGAAAATTGGGAGATCGGTGTTGTAGCGTGAATGGAGAAAAAAATCCAATGCTAGTAAATGGGAGCACGTGGCGGCCAGACTGCGCGAGTTGGCGCCGCAACAAAGAGGGCGCGGCTGCGACAAAACTTTAGTCCAATCGGAGCGTTTGTTATTTGAGGTTCAATCATGGCAGCATCTGTTTCACGTGCCTGTGTCAATTTGTGCCGAAAAAGCGTCAAATTAGGCACTTTTAACTTAAACGCGGACTGCCGAATTGTGCGAAATGTTTCTGTAAATAATTTCGACTGCATCAGACGATTTTCCAGCAAAAATGAAGCCAAGGAAGAGTTGGCAGAGTTCGACTTTGATGAGGTATGTTTTTAAAACAAAATATACATAATATTTATTTCTTTTCAAAATTACTTGTAAGTTGTCTCTAAAACAAACTTTTTCCATCTGTTCGAAACTTAAATCAAATTAAATAGCTGTGTAAATGAGCATTTTGTTCTACTCTTGATTATTAGGATGACGAAGCAGCAGAAGAAGAAAGACGACTCGAAAAAAGAAGAAACAAGTCTGGTCTGAGGAAACAACACTTCAGGGTGATGCACGGAATGCAACCTTATGAGGAACCTGTAGCGTGGTTCCATCACTCCATCAAGTACAAGAAACGAATGTTTGGCCGCTACGGAATTGACGGGACTGATATTCCGCTTGGAGCTCTTTGGCCAGATAAGGTTTTTTACTGAAATAAAAATAAAAATTCCAATATATGTATTATGTTTTTTTTCTTATTTATTTTAGGAGGACTTGGCAGATAAAAAGGAATACGAAGCCTGCGTTAGACCGATGCTACTGCAGGAGGTGATGAAGAAGGTTCAGGATGAGAAAATTCAGGCCGAGGAAGAGCAGAAGAAGCGACAGGCAGACATGGCAGTTAAATTTGAAAAGATCGGTCAGTGGAGAAAGGAAATGGATGCAAAAATTGAAAAGAAGAGGAAAGAGGCCCAGGCTATCAAGGACAAGAGGGACAGACTGGTCGAAGAAGTGAGACGACTAGTCGGCTACAACGTTGACCCGAGAGACGAAAAGTTCAAGGTTTTGCTCGAACAGAAGGAGAAGGAGCAAAAGAAGAAAGAAAAGGAAGAGAAGAAGGCGCAAAAGGCTGCCAAAATGATGGAGATCATGATGGCCAAGGCAAAGGTCTCCGAAAGTGGCCAGTGAAGCATTTAGAGTGTTTGTCAATAAGTGAAAAAATAGTCTTGTCTGTAATAAAAATTAATGAAAATGTTGATACTGTTTAAAACAAAATCTTATTTGATTGATTATTTCTATCATTCCCATATAATTATTATTAATTTATTTAAGAATATATTCTTTATCATTTTATCAATGAAATTTCTAATTTGATTTTCAGCAGCTTATGGAGCTAGTCCGTCGCCTTACAGCGTTTCGTCAAGCATTGCCAGCTTGAGGTTTCGAGCCCAGGAATACCAACACGGACACCAAAATCCGCTGTAGATTTTTTAAATAAAATTTTAATTTTTAGAGTGAAACTCGCTATTTGAAATTTGTAATAAAAAGAAAATAGTTCTTCAACTTTGAGTTATGCAACCTTCTCGACACTTGTGCTGAGCGGGTCAGTCTAAGTCCCTTTGCAGACGTTCAAAAACTTCAGAAGTGTTTTGATGGTGGCAGCAGCGGCACTCCTTGGGAGTGGAAAAGGGGGCGTAGCCGTCGCCGTACGTTTTCCATCCATTCATCGGCCGAGAGAATCGTCGGGTGGCAGAAGAGAAATCTCTTTTGAAATTTTCGAGTTCCAGCCGATTCATCTGTGGAGAGTTGATTTCCGACTGCCGCTCGAATCTCCAGGCATATCAGCAGGTAAGAACCCTCGTCGATAATCAATCTTATCAACGGGTTATCCTGCGTTTTGGTCTATTATGTATTAAAACTTTTGTTGTTTTCTCCTGCTCTTGCCAAAGGTCAGGCACGAAGACGTTTTGTTATCGAAAACCAGTTTTCTTTGTTTAGAACATGTAAGAACGAACACAGCTTTACAATCATTCGATTCTCTAATAGGAAAGTGCGTGCGTTGTTTTGAAAATCAAGACCATCCAGACGTGCATGCTGCAGCGCTGCGTCAAACGTGACCTGTTTTGTGTTTCAGATTGGTGCCAAAATGTTGTAATCTTTTTTGCTTTCCACTTGATACCCTCACTTCAAATTCGAGATTACAGTCAATACTTTCGTCGGCTTTTTAATCAGAAATTGATAAATCGAATCAGGCTACTGGTCTTTTTTTTTCATAAATAGTTATGTATATTTTTCCTCCCTCACTTTTTATATAATATTTTTTATTTCCTTTTTTTACTCACTTTTTATTTCATATCATCATGTCCAAAAGTATTAATTCATTTTGCCAATTTTTTTACATTATTTTGCAATGACAGATTAAAAACGCGTTAATTTTGTTTCGCCCCAAAATATTTACTTCCCATAATATTATGTGAAGTGAATTAATTGATGCTGCTGATGATGGTTTGGTTTTGCGAAGAGAAAGCGCAACTCTGTTAGGAGCTGATCTGATTTTTTCCTCCTCGCTTTATAAATTGCTCGGAATAATTTTCCTTTCACTCAGATCCTGCAGGCGAAAGGCACTTATTAGAGTATTTTCAAGAGAGCGCAAGAGAAAAATGAGATTAAAAATAGAAATCCAACTTGTTCTGAAAACACTGTTACAAATGTTACAATTTACTTGATTTGTTCAACACACATTTTACAAAACAATTTGAGTGAAAATTAGTAATTATTTTTTGCTTTAGGCTGTGAATAAATATTGTTGTAGCTCCTTAAAAAAATCATCGTTTCTTAGCCTGCATAAAAGGAAAAAAATCACTTTCACTGTTTAATCAAGATGGTAGGGACGTTAAATTTGTAACCTTGGGAAAAACCTTGGTCTTTTGGTGAGCCTCATCCATCCTATTCTGCGGTGCGCTCACATTTACTACACATTATAAAAATTATCACGGAAATGACGCTTTATGGTGATGTCTTGCCAGGCACCTTGTTTTTGTCCTGCGTGGCAAAGCTCAAGTTGGTTTCTTGTTTACAAAAAAAACAGACCTACATTTTTCTTTCTTAACCAAAAAAAATTGGTACGATTACAATTTCAAACCACAAATATTATATAAATATAAAAATTCTGAAATCCTGACAGCGATAAATTTATTATACGTTTAATGATCGGGGCTCTTTATTGATCCAAGTTGCAGGCGGGCGTGAAGGAATTTTGATAGAAATTCCATTGCCCTTTGTCATTATTTATTGATTTTAGCCTGCAGGGTGGAATTAATTTTAATTATCCCACGCAGAAAAATTATTTTGCTTCTGGTTCTGAGAAACTCCTTAATCGCGCATGCACCGTTTAAATTTCACACAAATTCCTTTCCGATCCACCTCAACAAATTTTGACCCAGTAACACACAATTTTCGCCGCAACTAAATGTGTGCCATTTTTTTTTCGTCTCATCAATCTTGATCATATCGCTACATATATCTATTTTTATGAGCGATCATCTCAATTTATTTATCTTTGTCAATTATCAATTTTTAACATAGATTGTTAAATATTGAAAGAAACAGAAAAAATATGAGTTAATAATGGACGAGGTATCTCAAGACTTGATTGCGAAGGAAATAAAAAATGCTGTGAAGTAAACGTTGATAAAATACATAATTTGTATTTGTACTTGTTGCATCACAATATAACAATAATTATTAATATACGTTGAACAAGCATTTTACGCTGCTGATGTGGATGCTGTCCATTGTGATCTCTGACCTTGTCTCTGGATAATTCTTTCTTATCCTTATCAAACGAAGCTTGGTGGAAAACCCAACTTTGTGTTATATAGTTTTCCTAATTATAAAATATCTCCATTGTTGATCGCAAAGTAAGAAACATTAATTAGAGAGAAAAACCAGCGCTCCAATTATCATTGTGAAATTTTCATTCTTGGAACAAGTCAAGAGAGGTGTTAATAAAGCTATTAAAATAATAAAAAATCTCTTTTGTATTGCCGCGCCGTAATTATTTTTTTTATCTATATGGCTTTGAGATTTCAGGAAATCATGAAAGAGAGTCAATTATTTGTTTCAATTGAACAAATGTTCATTAATATTTTTAATTCGCATTAAAAATAGTCTTGTCAAAAAAAAAATATATTCCATGATTATTTACTAATATTTAAAAATCGCTTCTGTATTTAGTGGAAATTTTTATTTTCAAGATTTATTAATTATGAAATTTCTTGGATAAACCGTCATAAACAGGAGTCTTTTTTGCAGTAGTGGCACAATTAAAAGTCTAAGAATCAAACAGTTCAGTAAAGATCGTTCACTTTTCTAGTTTACTTATTGCAAGAATTGGTTTGCGTTACGTAACAAACTACGCAATTCTTAAGCTGTGAGTTTCAATTCAACGAAGCGTTAAACTCTTTAGGGTCCAATTGACAAAGGGCAATTGAAATCACAATGGATAAATGAGAGCACTTTTGTTGACTCCTTTTTCTCTGGTCGTGAGCGCCGTTACGCGTGTTTTGTGATGGCGATGAATTCATTCTCTCCTGTTTTATTTTGCAATATTTCTTCTTTTTTGCTTACAAATCACCTCATCAAAATGCCCTGGTTGCGAATTTTCGCACGCTTGTTATATGCAAGCAATTGTTACCTGTCTATTGGCGTGAGATAGAGTTGTGCGAAAATATGAGTAGCTGGGCAAAGCTTGAGAACAATAAATAATAATTGCAGTTATGCAGCGTGCACAATAAGCAAAGAATTTGGTTTCTATTCAGTGGAACCAAATTAAAAAATATTTGATTTGTAAAAATTCTTGCAATCAATTAATAATAATTGTTACAGTTGCAAATAAAACCCGTAATTTTCATATGCTTGATTTTTTTTTTTAATTGGAAGGTTTTTTTTTAAATAAATTATATCATCTAAATGAAATTAATTCTGAAGAAAATTGTTGTGGTTGTTGCAGAATGGATCACAGTCACCACCACCATCATGCACCGGCACCATCAGCCTCCACAGTAGCGCCTCTTTTGGGCGCTGCCGAGGAAAGCGCGACAGGGATGCCTCCCATGGATATGTGCTCTCATCTAGATATGGGCCACCACATGATGTCTGTGAGTAAAATTAAAACATGTTTTTCGTTTTTATTTAATTTAGCAATGTTTCAGTAACCTAATTCCTACATTTTGCTCTTTGCAGATGACCTTCCACTTTGGCTACTGCGAGAATGTCTTGTTTGATTGTTGGAAAGTGCGCAGCGTGGGTTCGCTCATTGGTTCCATGATAGGAATCATGATCCTGGCTGCTCTCTACGAAGGACTGAAATACTATAGGTATTACACCAGTAATTTAATAAATTAAATTATCTTTTTTAACTTAATTGTTTGTTTTAGGGAATACCTTTTCTGGAGGTCGAACAATTCCATTCAGTACAGGTCGGTGACTCCTCCTGAAAAAGCAGGCAATGCTGAAGAGGCCAGAGTAGTTCAGTGAGTGGAATTTTTTTTCTGCTGGTTGTTTGGGTGCCTATTGGTGGCAGCTGGGTTGCTTTTTGTTTTTTCTCTCCATAAAAATTATCAATCAGTCAAATTCTTATTTTAAAAAAATAGTAAAATACTTTACTTTACTCCATTTAAGCACAGGTGAAAGAAAATTTTTTAATAGAGAATTACGTAATTAGAAAAGAATTTGTAAATATTTAGTTTGTTCAATTGCAATATTTTCAAGTGCATTAAGGTATCGGGGTAAAAGGAAAATTATTATCCGAGTTTTATTACCATGAAATTAATGGTTGCTTTTTGTCTTGTTAATGCAGCATGGTGCCAGAGATCATTCACCGTCAGCCGTAAGTATAATTTTTCTTTGCCAATAAGTTTAAATGTTATTTCAATTTTTATAGAAAAATTAATTTAAGATGCAATAATAAAGTCAAAAGTTTCAAGTCGATCAAACGGTAAATCAGTGTTCTTAACTTGCTTTTTAATGTACATTTTGTGTGCACAAAATATTTTCAATATGCCTCATTATCCAGTTTAAGGTCATTTGAGTCCACATGTATCTAAACTGTGCAAATTGTTGCAGACCCACAATGCTGAGTGGCGTCCACGCCTTTCAGACTGCGCTGCATGTGGTGCAGCTCGTCATCAGCTACTTACTGATGCTCATCTTTATGACTTACAATGTTTGGCTCTGTCTTGCGGTCATCGTCGGTGCAACAGCTGGTTATTTTCTCTTCGGCTGGAAAAAATCCGTCATTGTCGACGTGACCGAACATTGCCACTGAAAATTGTGAAAATCCTGTAGGATTGGAATCTGGATGAGGCTCGTAAAGGTGCAAGATCAATATTCGTGCAGCACAAAGCTGCTTTAGAGGCATTGCTGTTGTCTATATATTTGTGATACCTCGTGAACTAAAAGACGCCCTCATTTCATAAGTTGTATTTTATTATTTCTTAACTATGTTTACTTGTTTCTTGCTGGATATTTTTGCAGTACTTAGTGTAAATTTGAAAAAGTAGGACCACTTCTAGCTATTAATTTAAATTTTTTACTTCTCAGTTGAACTCGATTTCCAATGTTATTGCTTCAATGGAGAATTATTTTGTAAATAAAATTTTATCTGCACAAACTGAAAACGTTTTGAGGTGTGTTCTTCACAATATTTTAACCTTAAACTAACGAGAAGTATCATAAAAGCTTTTGCTAATTTTTGAGCCAACTTTATTGAAAAGCTACCCTGGTAACAGTAAACATAAAAGACGTTTCACTGACGTGAGATACAAAGTTTATTGGCCATCCCGAGATTACAGCTCTGACTGATTGCGTTCACAAGACTGAAGGTGTCTTTGCTGGCTATCTAGAATTTTGCACACGACTTGTCACTTAAGTGCCGTGTGCAAATCGTCAGGGACAGACAGCTGATTATTAATTGAATCTCAATTTCCTATCATGTTTTTTGTCAAACTATCTAAAAAATTGAAAACAGTCCGTGCCTGTTGCACACGACACCAAATTTTGCTCTCGGCTCAGATTTTTCAATGTGATAAAACTCAGAATCGGATCAGCTCGGTTTCTTACTAGAGACTGCATGGAATGCAACTTGCCAACTTCTTATTGAAATGATACACCTAAAATGAGCTAAATTTACTGTTTCAAATTTTAGTAATTATGTAAATTTTTTCTGAAAATGATTAAATGTATACTTTGATAAATGCAAACAACGATTGTTTGATAAATAATATATAATTTTAAAATAACTTATAAATTTATAAAAGACCAACCTCTATCTATTAGAATTAGCCCTTTTCTTATCTGTTTATTAAAATATAAAAGTATTTAAATACATATATCGAAGTGGTCAATCGCACTTGGCAATAGGGAGATAAGATTGGCAAGAAGAACGGCTACAGTGGAGATAAAATATTTCTGATCAGAGAGCCTTTCAATATAAATAGTGTCCAAGCGCAAGCTCACATCATACCATCACTCATTTTTATTTTGCCCTGGGAAATTTGCTGCCTAGCACGCCACAACCAAAATGAATGATGATGAGTGTGGGATGATGGTAATTTCCTGTTTTCTTACTCGCTTCCATTTCGCACCTCTCATATTAGTCATATTAATTGCTTTCCTCTGTTTAGATGTACTTTCATATTCGCTACTGCGAAAAAGTTGTTCTTTTCGAGGGCTGGGAGATCAGAGACGAAGCCCAATTGATCGGAACGATGATCGCATTTATTGTAATGGCGTTTTTACACGAGTGCGTTCGCCACTATAGGTATTTTGCGTGCATCAGTGATTATTATATTAACAATTTTTTGAAACGACAATAATTTATTTTAAGGGAACACCTGTACGCAAAATGCAGAATCCCTCAATGCGATACGCATGATGCTGACACAAAATATGGAACTTCTTCCCAGCAAAAACTGCAATCGGAGGAAAAATCAAGGTGAATTTCAAATTTTTTATTTTAAAATATTTTGTTCACGAAGATTTTTTAGGAAAGAACGACACGCTATACTCAGCTCAATTCACTTTGCCCAAACTGGACTTCACGCTTTGCAACTTACCTTGAGCTATCTTTTGATGTTGGTCGTGATGACTTACAACTTTTCCCTTTTCATGTCCGTCCTGGTCGGATCGGCCGTTGGATATTTTGCATTTTCTTGGAAGAAACCTGCAGTTGTTACTACTGCTGTAGAAGATTGCTGTCATTAAATATATTTTTTTACATAATAAACGGGCACTGTAAAATACTTGTGTTTTTAGCAGCTTTAGTCGCTTCGCTTTACCCAGCGCATGTCCTGACGATATTATTGTATAATTGGTATAATTATAAAAATAAATTTAAAAAAATCACAAGGAACTTTGAAAGCTTATTACTCTTATTAGATTTTTCGTTAATTCTGCCGAAAATTTCAAATTGCTTTCAATTGTTCGTGACAAAGAAATAAAAGTCAATTTTTGCATTGATTTTTCCAAATTTTATTTCTTTTGAAATTATCGAATTTATCTAATGAAACAATACATTTCCATGCTCTTTTCCCGCCGTTTTTCTCAATTTTCATGGAACCACCATCGCTGATTGGCTGCTTCGAGCGATGACGTCACGCCCCGCCCATATCGAAACCGCAGCTGAGCGTGACATTTTATTGTGTTTGCAATTTGGAAAATTGAATTTCCAACGCGTTGTTCACCATCCTGATGACCTTTCTTCAGGTTTTACAGGTAATATTCAAGTCTATAAACATAAAAATAGTGTAATCATCAATTCAGAATCGTCTCAATTGACGTAAACTCGTAAAAATCTCCCCAATAAAAGCGGCTCGGTCGCGTCACGGTCAGATTGTCGCCTTAGAAAATTTATGTAATTTCCAGTTCATTCAAAACTACTGCGGCATCAAATGTTTCAGTAATCCCGAACACTATGGATCGGAAAATAGCCAGTTCTGAGATTTTAAATCCCACTTCAACCGGGTCCAGAAACGCAAGCACCGACTCCTTGGACTCGGATTCGAAGTCCTGCTCTGTCAACTCCAAACATGACACCGTAAGATGCAGTTTATTATTTCCGCTTGTTATGTACCCAAGATTTGTTAAACATTAAACAAAATTATGATTGCTAGCTTTTCCGACTGTTACTGTCACGCATATATTTTCTGCACCCTCAATTTTCGTAACTGTGTTGTTAATATTTTTTTAATCATAACATATATGTAGTTTTGTTTTTTTGCGGTTTTTAAATTTGCGAAAGTTCCTACAATAAATGAGTCATTATTATCTTTTCAAGGGGGAAAACTCAAGCTCAGGGCAGCAGAGCGAAAATGCTTCGTCACCTCGACCAGAAGATCTGCCGCTGCTGCCAGGCGAAAAGACTCAAGGAGTCGCTCGAGATGTGACCTACCTTTGCCCTTACACCGGTCCTGCGCCTGGGGTCCTCACGGTCACAAATTACAAGCTGCACTTCCGCAGTACGGATCGCGAAACGCTGTACACTTTGGAAGTGCCGCTAGGAGTTGTAAGTTTTTGTTTTCCGGAAATTTTATTTGGTTCAATTTGTTTTTGTTTAAAAAAAATTAGGTCAGCCGGATTGAAAAAGTTGGTGGCGTTTCAAGCAGGGGTGAAAACTCTTATGGAATTGAAGTGTTCTGCAAGGACATGCGGAATCTGCGTTTTGCCCACAAGCAAGAGAACCACTCGAGGCGCAGCGTCTTCGAAAAGCTCCAACTGCGTGCCTTTCCACTGTCCCATAATTTGCCACTGTTTGCATTCGAGTACCAGGAGACATTCCCTGAGGATGGCTGGGCAGTTTACGAACCTGTCTCCGAGTTAAAAAGAATGGTTTGATATTACAAATCACGTGGTTTGTCAAAATCATGAATAATTTATTTTAGGGAGTTCCAAACGATTCGTGGAAAATTTCTCGGGTCAACGAGAACTATGAAATTTGTGATAGCTACCCTCAAATTTGGGCTGTACCTGCTTGTGCCTCTGATGACGATTTGCGAGCTGTAGCAGCGTTTAGGAGCAGGGGCAGGGTGCCTGTCCTTTCATGGATTCATCCCACTTCACAGGTATGAATTAAATTCTTTTATTTGCACACATAAATAATATTTAACAACAATAACATCCAATCATAAATATCAAGAATAAATTCCTAGTTTTTAATATCAACATTTTTACAAATTTTATGAAAATGACTTAATTAAAACAAAATGTTGTATAATTTAGGCTGCCCTTTTACGTTGTGCACAACCTTTGGTCGGAGTTGCCGGACGCAGAAGCAGGGAAGACGAGCGGTACATCCAGCTCATCACAGAAGCCAACGCCCAATCTCACAAACTCTTCATCACAGACGCCAGGCCAAGCGCAAACGCAATTGCCAACAAAGCCAAAGGAGGAGGCTACGAGTCTGAAGACGCTTATCCCAACGCAGAGCTTGTCTTTCTCGACATCCACAACATTCATGTCATGCGCGAGTCCTTGAGAAAGCTGAAGGAACTCTGCTTTCCAACCATTGAGGAAACTAGATGGCTCACTGGTGCGTTTTCAAATCTGCAATACTTACATAAATTACCTACCTTATCAATTTTAGGCCTCGAATCGACCCTTTGGCTGAAACACATTCGATACATTCTTGCGGGGGCGATTCGAATTGTCGACCGGCTGGAGAATCACAAGACCTCCGTTTTGGTGCATTGTTCAGATGGCTGGGACCGAACTGCCCAACTCACAGGTTTGGCTATGATTATGCTGGACCCCTACTATCGAACGATGAGAGGATTTCAGGTTTGTACTTTGAAGCAAATCTTGTGTTTTTATTTTTTTATTTTATATACATTTATTTATTTTCTTAGGTGCTGGTTGAGAAAGAGTGGTTAAGCTTTGGTCACAAATTTGCCCACCGAATTGGTCACGGAAATGAACACCACTCTGATGCGGATCGATCTCCAGTATTCCTCCAATTTGTCGACTGCGTTTGGCAATTGACTCAACAGTTCCCAACAGCATTTGAGTTTAATGAGACTTTCTTGCTGAACATCTTGGACCACCTTTATACATGCCGATTTGGAACTTTCTTGTTCAACACGTAATACTATTTTTCTATCTTTTTTAATCAAATATGATCAACTTTTTATGCGCAGCGACCGTGAGAGATACAAGGAAGAAGTGAAAAAGAAGTCTGTCTCTTTGTGGTCCTTCATGAATGCCAACCTCGATGAGTATCGCAACCCGCTGTTCTGCCGCCTACTCCACGCCAGACATGTGCTTTTACCTGTGGCGAGCATGAGGTAATCAACCATAAAACCACAAGAAAGCCACGTTAAAACTTGGTGATAAAATTTCAGGCACATGAAACTGTGGAAGGGTTACTACTGTCGTTGGAACCCGAGCATGCGAACGCAGGATCCTCTAATTCCACGTTGCAAGGAGCTACTTGCCCTCCGTGCACAACTGCAAGCTCAGGTAATTCAGGGTACCTGTGGTTAAGTAAATGGCTCATGTATTTTGTTTACATATAGGTGGAGCAGTACAAAAGGGACGTGGAAGCAAAGAACAGCAACAGGCCGAACATAGGCAGCCCTCAACGATTGGCATCGCCAATCCACAGTTAAGTGCCGATCTATTACTGAAGCTCTACTGATGGTGGTTTATGGAAACTTTCCTCTTGTAGTTTCTGACAGTCAAACATTCTTTTTAATAATATTGATATAATTTGTTATCTCCTATATATTTTCTATCCAACTATCAAATACGATTGGAACAAATAAATTATTCAGTAATTATTATTTCTACCGACACGACTGACTTCTTATTAAATGAAACATTGTCTACGTCGGCTACTGAGGATCAAGGTTTATTTTCTTACAAATTTTAAATTTGGCAGAATTATTCTGCCAAACATAACAAAAATTAAATAGCTTCGATTATACAAGTACTCGCTGAGATAACAAATGAAAACAAGCATTTTTATACACAAGAAACTTACATGAAACAATATTTTAAAATGATATTCTTGGCAGAGATGGTGATCGTAAACCTAACTTACAAGTATACAATATAAGCACATCTACAGGTTTCTATTTTTTATATTAAGTGTTTTTACACTACACTTGGGTACATTTTGCTTTGCTCTTTTGCATAGGCGAAATACAGATAATACAAGTTTTAAATTAATATTTATCATACAGACAGGCAAATAAGGGCAATGGGGGTGCTGTACAAGAATATTATAGGGGAAATATCTTGTGCTGAGAATACCTTTTCCGTTACATAGAAGTCTTTCGAGTGAAATACAAGCTTTGGATACAAGAGCATCATAATATGTATAGCTGAAAAGCAGTTCTTTTAATCTTTTTTTTTATATCATCAAGTCATTTGGTTCAAAATTTACTTGTCAAGTAAACTCTCACTTGAGTATCAAGAGTTTGTTTGATTTCTATCGAGCCCAAGGCATCCTAAGTCGAAGCGAGCATAGAGAATAATATTTTATAGTCAAGGGAAAGAATTCAAGAAATTTTTGGCTTGCCACTAATATACAAAGAATTGTACTTCTAACATAGAGTGCGGTCAGAAAAGCTCGGAGAAGCTCAGCAAGAGCTGCTCCTCAACTCGGCCAGCTCTGCAAGCAGATTGGCGGCCGGTGTCCTCATGGCGCCGTTTGTGACACTGCCGTTGTTGTTGTTATTATTGTTATTGTTGTTACTGATGGCTCCATTTTTGGCGTGCAAAGCGTACCGCTCCTTAAGCAGATTCAGGGCAGTCACCAATCGCTCATTGGCTGCTTCCACAGCCTCGAGGCGAGCCTAAGCAAAAAATTATCAAGTTCTATTTTGAAAAAAATTCATCAGCGTCTACCTCTTGAGCGTGAACCAGTCTTTGTGACCTGTCAAGGGCACTGGCCCAGTCAGCCTGGGTGCGGTGATCTACATTGTTGGCGGTGGCGTGGGCCAACTGCGACTCTAGCCTTTCAACATAGGCTTGCAACTGGCGTATTTCTCGTTCGTACTGAAATTTCGAGCAAATTTAAAATAAAGATATATTTTAGTTTTCAAGTGCGTACCTGTTCAGGTGTCTTTGGTGGTGCAGGACCAATGCTAGGTGACGGCACAATGTTGATGGCGCCGCGACCATTGCTGAGTCTGTCCTCTGCTGACGAATCGTCAGAAATTTCGTCCGAATGTCTCCTTCTGCCCTTCAACTGAGTCACCGATGGATACTGGGGTTGCACGGCCCGCCAGCCAGAGCTTTGGTGAGGGTTGGTCCTTGGTGCTGGAGGACGAGCAGGCAATCGCGGCCTGGGGCTCGGCGGCGGAGTTGAGTCTTCATCGCTGGAGCTGCAAGAAGGCTCCTGCCGGCGCCTGGAGAGACCGACCTGGTTGCGATGTGGCGGTGTGGGCATGTGGTAAACTGGGTTGTTGAAGGCCAGGGCTGGCTTTGAAGGCGCCGGTCTAGTTCCGGGGTCAACTGGAGATGAGCTCTGGCTGTAGGCAAAGCTCTGGTAGCCCGAGGAGGCCACATTTGACAGCTGGGAGATGCTCAGCTGGCTGCCTTTGTGATCTGCCTCATTCGACGAAGTGTCGTCCGAGATTTCTCTTTTGGCTGGTAGCGGTGATCGATGGCCATTTTCCTGGTGACGAGGAGGCGGAAGATGAGAGTTCCTCGGAAGGGTGGAGGCGCGAGTGGCTATCGGTGACATTTGCTTTATGGACAGGCCATCTGGTTGGCAAGCGATTGTTGGATCATTAAACCTGAAAAAAAATAAAACATTTATTTATAGTCCTTGAAAATGTTTATAAAAATATTACCTGAAGATGTTCCTCTGCAGGGACTGGTAACTATGGGAGGCATTGTCGGTTGAATGTCTGTGGGCTGTGCCGTTTGTCTGGATGTTCGAGGACACCAGTGCCAGTCTTGGGGACATGGGCGCTGGAGAGGAATGCTGGCGCATAATAGGCAGGTGATGGTTCGAAACGCAATTCGACTGGATCGCTGGAGTGACGGCGGCCACTTTCAAGTGGTCCAGTACTTTGGTCAGACGGTCTAGGACTGATGAGCCAGGACCAGTTGTAGAACATTTAGAAAGGCTCTCTGACAACAGGGTTTGCAGAACACTCAGCTGCTTGCCCAGGTCAATGAAGCCATCATATTCAGGAGTGCAGCGGGCACTGGGACTCTAAAAAATTAAATTTTATGAGTGAGCCTTGTTGAAATAAAAAAGGTGTCTTACAGAAATATGCCGGAGGAAGTTCTTCATTGCTGGTGCCTCTCGCTCGACAAAGTCGTTGAGGAACTCCATGAAGTTCTCTTTACCCTGGAATCTGGTAAAGTTTGCCAGAGTTTGCAACGTTTTGGCCACCAAAGTCAGATTTCGAGCAGTCCTCTCATTTGGATATTCTAATATAAGACGTTTTTAAAAAAATGGAATTTTAAATTATTTGGTAAATTACCTTGAGTGATTCCAAAAAGACTGGGTGAGAGAATAGCGGGACACAAGAATCTGAGGAATATTGATGCAGAAATGAGATTATCACTGATGTCCTCACGTCCTGCTTGCATAAGCCTCAGCCTGAATGTGTGGAAAACTTCCCTCAGCTCTCTATACAAATAAAAAATATGAAATAATACAAATTTAATTTAAATTATTAAAATACGTTGGGAAATTCTGGTGCGAAGCGAGGATCTTGCTCCAAGCGAGTTCCACTTTTGACCTGAGATTCTTCTGCTGCTTCAGCAGAGCAGTTTGGCTTCCCACCTTCAGAGGGTCAACCTCGCACTCTTCCTGGCCAATGCTGATGTCGCCGACAAACTGCGCCAAAGTTGAGCGCAAGTATGAGTCACCGACCAGCTTCAAGTAAGACTCCATCGCCTTTGTAGCAAGAGAGTTTCCGCGGAAAGTCAGTCGCTCATCCTCTGCAAAATATGATAATTTAAAATGGGTCCAATTGAAATATTAAATTAAGCGGCTCTTACCAACGCGGTCAATATCAAGCATGACAACGTCAGCCAAGAAATTCTTGGCCAGTCCTTCTTTCTGCATGACATGCACAAGGGCAGTGGCAATGTCTTCTTTGGCCTTGACGCCAACTGCTGGTTCCAGCAGTTCGCAAATGTTCAAGTAGTCATTCTTCAGGAGCTGAAACGGAATTTATATTTGTTACTAAACCACATTCTTATCAAAATATTTAAGGACGACTTACATCCAGGAAGTCCTGATAGTTAGCTATGGGCAGGATGTCAATAGTCTGGAACCTGCACTTGATCCGTAAAGCGGGCGAATCTTTGCTGCTAGTGGTCGAGCCCGATGACGAAATGGGAGGCAGCACGGGGTACCACTTCTCAGTCAAGTAACGCGAGGAGATGTCGTGGACAGGAATTGTGACAGTACCTAAATAGCAAATAAAAATTAAATTTCAAAATAGTGTTGATGGTTTTTCTTATTATTATTATTATTTTTTTTTTAATTTTTGTATCATTAAATTATACCTATTATCATGCCTTTGTCTCGCTTTCTTTTCCTGTCCGCCTCTCTGTAAAGATGAACATTGATCGTGTTTATCGTCGGGAGTCCATTGAAGTCGAACTGCTCGCCCCAGAAACACATTTCGCCCTTCTGCTTGCAGGATGTCCTTGCGTAGAGCGTTCGGTCCAAATATAGCTCGCAGAAATATCTGGAAAAAATTCAATTTAAATAAGTTTATTTAAAATAAACTTAATAGATTATTTTCCTACACCACGGAAGTTAAATGGCACGCGGAATTTTAGTCACCCAGGAAGGGATACTTCCTGCATCGCGTGATAGGAATTCCATAAAAAAGCGAAAACTCACCTCTTTTTGTTTGGGATTCCTTTGGCCTCTAGTATCCAAAACTGCAGCGAGTTTTCGGCCCTGCGCTTTAGTTCCTGGTCGGGTTGCACTGTCCTTCGAAGGCTGAAATCATCACGACAATAAACACCTATTCGACGCGAGATGCACTCGATTCTGTCGTTTTCGAACATTGCGGCGCCCAGTGCAAAAAAAGTATGTAAAAAATTCCGCACGCTCCCGCGACGATAAGATATGAAATTAGTCTGGCCGATTAGACTGCTGAATTAAAATGCGGCAGCAACTTTTGTCTTTGCGGTGGGAATGGATTGTAGAGGGCATGTGGAGTGTGTCGCTGATAATGTCACAATGACACTGAGCAAACAGCACACCAGCGCGCGCCGCGCGGTCACTCACGCACGCAGCGCTCTGTTTGCGGTCTCGGGCCCCCAGTCAAACATAAACATCAGAACGGCTAATGACTGGTGCTAATTAATGTGGCAGACTTTGAAATTACAAGCCGGCCACTGCTCTTTCTTGCCTAAGAGGTCTTTTGGTTGTGAAAATTACACAATGCGCCACACACTTTAAAAGGAGCTTTACTTTTTAGGGTGAACTTTTTTTTCATTCGTTTATAGGAGGATGTTGTTTTATTTTTAGCAGCTTTTTGTGAGATCATCGCGTGGAGCGTGGAAATTTTTCGTGGGAAGAAGAAAATTGAAATTTCCGTGCCGCTTCATTTGAGGGGCGAGCTAGGCGGGCGGCCGGACAAAATTGACTGAATGCGTACCTGTGCACCCATTTGTCCCTCTCCTCCGCGGTTCTGCATGAGAAATACCGAATGCCGCCGTTGCCCTGCGATGGACTTGTGGTCACCTAAAAAAATAATCACAGAAACGTGAGAAAAATGAGGTTGATAAGCTGTTGCACGCAAATTAACTATAACAATTTGACTAGTTAAAAATTTTTTAATAAAAAATATGAAAACAGCGATCAATAAAAAAAAGCTGAAACCTGGCGAAAGAAAAATCTTTTTATTTTCAATTGAAATTTAAAATTTCAGCTCTAATAGTCTGATAAAATATATCTTTTTTTATTACTTTTCTCGCTAGGTTTCAGTAATCGACATGATAATTTCACATAAAAATAAGAGATTACTCTACACAAAATTTCCACACAAAATAATAATGACATAGACAATTCAGGGGTAGGCTAACTATGTTTCATACAAATATTCAATTACAATGATGTCTAGAGGAAAATTATATTTTTTTTTGTAATTTTCAAAAGTAATGAAGTATATAATTAATTTTTGACAATAGTATATGTTTTCTGTTTGAAAAAACTTGAAAAGACAATCATAAAATTTAATTAATTTAAAATGATTTTAAATAATAAGAAGATAAATAAATATTTATAAATTAAAATATTATTACAATTTAGGATTTAAAGTTGTTATTATTAAGATATTTATTAACATATTAAAATACAAAACTTACTTGAAAGCAGTTTTCTCTGCCCAAAACTGATGGGTGCAGCGGTTTGATCTCGACTCCGTCAGCGGCCAGGTCGAGTGTCTGCATCATGTTTTGGCCGCACAGCAGGGATTCGTGCGAGCGCGAGGTTCTCAGCCTCGGAGGCCCGTCCAGTCCGACGCTGCAGACACAAAGGAAAACGACGATTAGTCAACTGCGCCCACTCACATCACCACCACGGAAAAAATAAAATATCTTGTGGTCGGGAGTGAAAAATTTGAGGACACCGACTGGAAGGAAACGAAGCGATTTTGGTGAGCGCGCGTGTTCGAGTGAGCACCGCTGGCTGGAGAACAGGGTCAAGTAACTGGTGGGTGGGCGCGGCCGGTGCGAATTGACGCGGCACCCCACCTGTGTTTGTACGGCAGGTCAGGTAAAAAAAAAACGTGTAATTAAGGCGCCGATAATCAGGTCGCCGACTCCGCCTCGCGAGATTTTCGGCTGATCAGAAAATGTGAAATTAATTTTTAATGACCGCACACAGAGTGGCCGGTCAAGGATGAGAAATCGCCGAATCGATCTGACTTTTGTCACACTCAAAACCGGCATCAGCAACTTTTTTGCATGATGACTGCTGCTGGCGCTGCAGATTATAATCGCAGACTCGAGTGATAAAATTTTACGGTGCAAACTTCATTACTCTGCACATAGGTAGATATTTACTTTATGATTAAAAAGAGGGCTTGTGTCACCGGCCGCTGATTTTAACCCGGTTTCCTTTGCCTCAATTAAAATATTATGAGCATCTGAAATCAGCGAAACGGGGCACGCAAAGCAGATAAGGTCGATTCTTGCGAAAAGAAAAAAAACTCGCGCCACGCACGCAGGAAATCGTATATAAATAAAGAGCACGTTTTTTTATACATACTTATTTTTTATACCAACGCAGTTAATTCACCTCGCAGCTGCAAAGTTTAAAGAGTAATTGCGATTTATTTACGACCTCGCGCACCAATTAGGTAAAATTTGCAGAGGGCACGTACTTGCAATACGGCAGTTCGCGAAAATTTAGCGCTCCATTACGGCAACGCGTGAGCGAAATATTTTTACGCAACTTTTGCGGCCATCTGTTCTCCATGTTTGAAGAAATCCGTCTCTGCTTTCTTTGAGCAAACACGTACTCCAAACATGTCGAGATCGCCAGACTGACGACTAATCTAATCCAAGAGTCAGGTTTTGAAAAGGAAACCCGCGAGACTTTCATATTGCCAAAAAAGAATTGAAATGTCGGTCGGAGATAGCGCTATTGTTTTTCCCGAAAAGAGAGATTTAACCGAAAAAGGTCATTTTTATTATATAAAAAGGCTGTGCATGAAAAGGGATCGGCCGGTTGTTTGAAAAAAGTGCTAAATAGGAGAGGATTAGTGTGGCCATCGGTAATGTACTGTACCTTTCAGGCTCCAAGACACCGCTGCGCTTTCGCTCCAACTTGGTCACACTCTTGGTCCGTTTTAGGGGATTCGAGCGGAACGATCGCTTGGAGAAGAAATTCTGTAAGAGTAAATTAAAAATCGTTAAATGAAAAAATATTTTCCAAAAACAAATTGCGTGGAGTAGATAGAAAAAAAAAATACAATAAAATATTCAGCAGCAAATTAGTGTCAAATGGATGCCTTCAAAAATTATAAAACTTTTTCAAGATTTGTGTATGCTATGTAGATTGAATAAAATATTATTAAAAATTGTAATTTATAAAAAAAAAATAATTTTTAAATTAAATTTTCGTGAATTTACATTTTAGTTAACGAATTTTTTTAAACCGCCATAATTTGTTTGTTTATTATTCGAGTAAACAAAAACGGTACTTACAACAATCCTGGAGGGGGTCAACTCAAGGCCCCTTGAGCCCAGCACAGGGGTGGCCGGAGCGCTGCCCCTGCGCGGGTTGCTGCATGCTTTCTCATAAGAAGTGTCTGAAACAAAAGCAAAAGTCCCCTTTAGTGAAAGAGCTCTCTCATCTTTTTATTGTTATTGTTCAGCCCCCGCGTAACCAAAACACACGTATCGCATTTCACATTGCTTTGCATACGAGCTCTGCGGCGAGCAGGAAAATTGGACCCAACGAACTTTTAACAAGGTGCGTATGTTGGAAGAGGAGTAAAAGCCGTTTGGGCTCGGATCGAATTTGCCGAGGGAAAGAAAAGTGTCACTTTTACTTTTCGACCTTTCATAATTTCCACGCAAGACGAGTTTTTGGTTTCTAATTATAATCGCAAAAATAATGTGTGATTCAAACCAAGGATAATATATTTTTTTTTTGCATTAATTAAAGTGTTTATGTTTTGAGTGACAAACTTTCTCCTCATTAATTGCGCCTCACTTGCGATGTGATTTATCTGAGCAATTTGTTGAGCTCCCAACTCAAAACAAGCTCGACAAGCTGGTTTTCGATGTTGAACCACAGAGAGGAAACGAGCAAACGAAAGTTGGCGATTAAAAACCGACCCGAAATCACAATATAAATCACTTGCCAATTTCTTTCTCTTTTATTGCGGCAGCGGAAGCGATCTGATTTCGCTTGTTGGTGCCGCTGCGGTGATAACAATAATGATTATGATCGCATGCATCGATCGCTGCAGTGCAAGCGGAAAACAAAAATTTTCCTCGAACGTCATGAGAACTACGAGAACTACTTGATGTGACGATTTAATTAACGTCAGCAATTAATCGCACACTCATTTATGTAGAACTGAAAACGGCTACTTCCTATAAAGTTTATTGCGATCGGCAGCTGAGTTATAATTGCTGCAATACAAAACCAGCTGGCCGAAACCACCATTCAATTAATTGTACTGGTGGTATATTGCAGCCAAAAAATGTTTATTGAGCATTTTAGGAAAAACCACTTATATTTAATAAAATCTTAGAATAAAATCATTTGAATTTAATTGTGGAAATAAGATAAGATCAAAACGGTTTTGGTAAAAAAGTTTTTTAAAGAATTTATAGTTTTCAAATTTTTTTGTAAATAAATATTTGAAATCCCCCTCTATAACAAATAATGTCCCCTTACTTTACTGATATATATTTGTATCTAGATGAAGTACGAATTTCTTAAGAATTATATTATTGCGTATTATTGTAAGAGTTTCTGATGCTAATTCAAATGAAATCTTAATTTTAATATAAAATTGGTTCAATTTTAAATTAGGCCAACCTTATTATTGGTCCACATGTTTACTCGAACAGAAACTACTGGTCTGTTGTCTTTTCTCTTTCGCTTCATTGTGTTTTTACGTTTCATTTTACTCTTTCTCTTAATTAGAGACTTTTCGAGCGTGATGTGGAACTGTGGAATTACGACAAAAGAAATCAGGCGTCTAGCGTGTGCGTTTCTGTTTGGCCGTAAATATACATATAATGTATAGTGTTGTATCGTCACGAAAGCTAGAAAAATTATTATACACTTCGCACCCTGGCTCATTCCACACATGGCGCGATCGCCGATTTCCCTCGCACGTGCTATCTTCCTTTCCGGCGCCTCACGTTTATTTCAGAGTGTGCGTTTATCAGCTGCGGCAATAAAAATTATTATGAAGAGCATTTCGACGGTTCTGTCCGCCTATCTCGCGCTCGGCAGCTGTTTTTCGGGGCTATTATTTTCTTCAATATGAAGTGTGCTAAGGGGCTTGATATGAATTGAATCTCATAGATACGACAAAATTTTGCTGCTATTACCTTTTATCCAATGTGGCGGAGAGAAATTTTAAATATTTAAAAAAAAAGACACCGAATGAATATTCCATTGAATGTGAAATTACTTATTAGTTGCACTTTGAAAATAATAATCCATTTATTTTTAACTTTTTTATACACACATTTTCAATTAATTTTGTTATCAATGGCTAAATATTCAGCAAAATTTATTTCTTCTTATGCAAAAAAATAATTTAATATTAAAAATTTACTTTATGTTCTGTTTATAATGTTTATAATTAACTTTTTAATTTCTAAAGATTAGTTACAGTTTTCAAAAGAGAGTTTAATAAAATATTAATTTTTTTTTAAGTTTTGTAACTACAATCTTACTCAGCACATCGGTAAATAAATAAGAAATTCACCTCTGGCAATCTCGCTTTTGTAATGATCCCCTCTCTCTCGTCTGTATATTCGCACCTTTCGTTTTTCAAGAGCGGAAAAATTCCATTCGCCCTGCTGCCAGACGGCGGCAGATGGTTCATTATGTTTGTGGACCAGGCTCAATTTTCATTAGAGCCATGCATCACTCGCTACATTGGGCACGAGTTATAACACAGACCCATCTCACCCTGAGCAGCCGGGCGGCAGCACCTGCCGCCAGGGCCGCAGAAGGATGGCAGCTGGCCAGGTCACGTGTCCCCAAGGGGGTCACTATGTGGCGGCGGCTGCGCTTCAAACAAACAGGTTCTGCGTTGGAGATAAACCACAACACACAGGCATTGATGATGCTCTTCGGAGGTAATTGCAGTTGCTGCGGTCGACAGAGCTTGCAGCAAAGAGAGAGAGAGAGAGAGAGATGCACCTCGGCTGCAGAAAAGGCCCCAGAGCCAAATAATATCACATCCGACAAACAAGAATAAGTGTGACGCCGATATAAAACAGGATTCACATATTTATATATGAAATTTACGAATATTACGAATTCCAAGCCAAACCAGATCTTGGTAATTGAAAATTGGCTGAGAGTTGGCCTTGATTTTTTTAGGCAGATGTTTGATTGCTGATCATGTGGTTATTGTAAATATATTTGATTTTCCTCATTTTAAACATTGCAAGGAGGAAAGAAAACCAGAGAGATAGATGATGGTAGCCGAGTGATTCACCACTTGAAAGACATCATTTTTTGCTTGGTGCGCGCAAAGCCTCACTTTGTAAGCTTATATATGAATATGTGCATAAAAGCGCTTGCAAAACGTGCAGGAGGAGAAAGAGATGTACGGATAAAGCCTGGCGAGATTTTCAAGCAGGTAAAGCGAAATTCTTTTTGAGCCGAATAAAAGCCACCTGTCTGTCAGTAAAAAAAAACATTCAAATTTTATCTTAATTGATCAGCTTCAATCAACCAAGGTTTCGCAACAATATTATACACGCCTTCAAAGGGAAAAGTTAATAAGCCATTGTGAGCTGTTTACAGAGATGAAATGACATCAGAGCCCCTTGGGAAAACAGCTGTTGGCAGTGGTAATATCTTGCGGCTTCTGAAAACAACCCTGTCTCTCTCCTTGGTGCAAAATAAACGCGAAAGAGCATAAATTTCTCCCTTGACGGAGCCTTGCTCACTATTACCCGCAATTGTGGCGTGTAATGTTCTCGCGCTGCTGCTCTCTTGTTTCTTTTTCAAGAGAAGAAAGCAGCCTCGTCGTCTTTCGTTTCCATCTCTCGTTGTTGGCCAGCAGAAAAGTGCCAGTCAGTCAGAGAGTAATTGAGCCAGTCAATATGCTGTGTAATTAGCGTAATTGACATCATACGTCTCTGTTTCTTCTTCTTCGAGCTGCACTTTATGCTCCAATAATTGTCCATGAAAATTGCATGAGCCATCTTTCTTGAATGCGTGTCAGCAAATAAATTCATATTTTACATTGCGCTGTTGGCATTTGATTTTTTACTTTATACTCAAAAGCAGAATGTACACTGACCTAGTATGCGCCAGGTTGGCTTTGAAAATATATAACGCATTCTCTTTTCTACTATAAAGCATCATTCGCGCGTGTAACAGCAAAAAGTCTCTTACGGTATTTGATATTATAGAATACATAGTGGACTTTTCATTGATGCTGCGTTTTTGCTCGTTTGTGCGTTGCTCGTCCAGGCGCGGGTTATTATTATGCAGCTGGCCCAATTATGCGCGAGCGCACAATGGTCACCGTGCTCGAAAGTAACTGTTTCTCATTTTTCACGTCTCCATTTGCATGTGACAACCGTGCTTGAGATTTATAGCCAACGCTTACAACCGTATTGCAAATAATAATGAACCTCAGATGGATTGCAAAAGTCCTGTTATACAAAGTGAATAAATTTTTTGCGCAGGCAACAATTTTATTAATTCCATCGTATTTATATGGAAGCTTTTCATGCAAAATTATTACCTAATAAATGAGTCTGCATACCCCTAACAAAATTACGACCAAATTAAAAACCAGCACAAAGGGGTAATAAATTCCCCCTTTTTTCCAGCAGCAGAGCCTTTATCATCAGGACAGGCAATAAGTTTTGTCATAATTTTCATGCGTCCGCGTGAGATCCGATCTCGGCACCATAACTCCCGACCCAAACGTTAAAGAAGAAAATTCCAACCGAAAAGCTATCTAGAGTTACGCGGCAGCACCAAGAAGAATTATACATGCCTGTGCACGAATAGGCCGTTTGTAACAGGGCATGGAAAATCGCGGCGGCGTTGGAGATTTCAATAAATTATACACAGAGAGCAAGCTCGGCTATCTCGGTGCTGATTAAAATAATTCGGCTCTCCGCACGTATAGAGGACAAAAGAGATTTGATCAGGGTGAAATTGATTAAGTCAGCCCCTTGAGAGATATAAATTATATCGGACCGAATCTTTCCCAGATCTATGAGAGAGAAGATTTTTAAACGCAGCCAGCGACTGACGTCAGTCCGAATCAGAATTCAATCCTCGTGCTGCGTTTATTAATTGAGGGCGACGTGTCCGATCAAAAATCAAAAGAGATGTCACCCGAATTGGTCCGGCACATAAATCAAGCGCAGCGATTCCGCATTGTGAAGTTGGTCGTATTTTTCATTCGACACGCCGTGGACTCTCCTTGAAATTCCTTGTGTGAAATCAAGTGTCCCGATGCGACTTATCACAGCTAGGGCGGAGGAAAATTTTGAACCGGAAATTTGAGACAGAGAACATTACAAACTTTGAAAGACTCTATAGCTATATTGAAAAAAAAAAAAATTAAAAACTACAAAT